TAAAAGTGATTGTAAAGACTGAAACTATGACCATAATGTTAAAATATAAACAAACAAAGGCTAAATCAAAGTTCCACTTTTCAATCCTAGAGCCACAAACTACATGGCCATAAATGCCCCAGGATTTATTTATCAGTTAGAATAAAAATGTAGAATTTCTGGTCGACTAAAACGGAATATAAAATAATCTAAATTGTCTTTTTACTGAGAATTTCTGCATGTTGATTCACTAATATGACTAACCATAGACAAAGGAAGACATGAAGGGATATTATTGAACAATTGTGATGTGTACATTCAGAAGAGAAAAGAATAACAACAACAACAAAATAATAATAATCTTTCTTGCGTAAAAGGTTTGGCTTGCAATTACACACACATTCCAAGACAAATACATACAGTCTGATTTATTTAATTTATTTGTCAAATCTGATCTTTACTTTCTCCAAGAAATCATTTAAATTGATTTCAATCTGAGTGATATTACCTCAGTTTCAGAACATGATTTGATTTTTCTTCTTCCACCGTGGTTCATAAATTTCGTCACTTCCCCCTTTCAAGCTTTTGGCCACATCTACAGTGTTTGGTTTGAGATACAATAGTATTAAAATAATAAATGCTCTATTTTGTGGTTGTATTCAAAAGTAAATATCACTTAGTTTGCCTTAGTTTTTTTTAAGAATAACAATGTTTTAGCTCAAATTATAAATCCTTTTGAACAACATTGGCTGTTGATTTGGTGCTGTTACGTTTGTATTTAGAAATTCACTGATTTGCTGGATAATGTATTGTATTATTTTGCATAACTTTGCACAATTACGTAATAATTATCTTGGAAATCATTGGAACCATGATCTTTTGCTAAACCAGACCAATCTAAGTCTGTATCTAAACTAAACATGAACTAAACTGACCCTAAACACTTTTTCAAACTAACATTTCAAATTTAATCGTGTTGTTTGTCCGGGGGGGAATCAAATTTCTGTCTTTTCAAACTTTCTGAAGACATCTCTGCTTTTTGAACGTTGGCTCGTCGACCAATAACTGTATTTATGTCTGCAGTTAAGTGAACAAATATGGACACATGAAAGACAGTGCATCATTTCAGAGGCATCGCTGATTCCGTTTGAAGCCCAGCCGAGTGTGTTTGGGAGAGAAGAAACAGCAGAGAGGCAGATACGGAGCTGCAGCTGGTCAGGAAAGCAGCGGCGATTGGGCAAGCGCAGATAAAAAGAGTCCAAATGAGAATCACACTGCAGTCATCACAGGCATTAGGCTTCAGACTGACCACTTACATCTCTGAGCTCAAATGGAAAGTTTCACACACTAATGTGTATGGGAAAGGAGAGAAGAGACACAACTTTCGATTATTTTGCTTTATGCTACATTGGTATTTACAAGAGTTGTCAGTTAAAGGGGTTTGCTGACAATTCTAACTGAATCTGATAAGATGTATGAAATTCTGAAATTTCTCCACTGTGAGACTAATAAAGGTTTATCTTATCGTATCTGTATTTGGTGGAAGAAGCATGATGTAGATGTAGATTTATTGTCTCACTATCAGAACTTAAACTTAAACCTAAACTAGAAAATTAAGATTTGCCTCTCTCCATATTATCATTATCATGTCATTGAGCCAATAGAAATCAGTTTGTGAAAATAACATACCTAAAATAAACAAAAATGTAAATGATGTGTGTAACTTTGTGCTTCAGTGTGTATGTGTGTGTGTCTTGTTGTATAATAGATTTAAAAGCCCTGTGTGTGTGCAGATGTGACGCAGGGCTGAAAAGCAGTAATTGAATAAAGTGACTTTGTGCAACTTAAGCAGGGAATGTCGTGCGGCGTGTGGTGGAACTCTGGCGCCCTCTAGTGTATTTTTGAGAAATCACAAGATAAACTAATATTTTCTATACTGATAAAAAGTTCACATTATCTTCATATGTTCCTGGCCTGGAATTGAGATATTAATTTTCCATTACCAATTTATTTGACCAGTTTTATATGACTTCACCAACCATTTACAATGATATTACTGCAGTTATCACGTACTAAGAAAGTATCTGTCCATCTATCCTCTCAGCTCACCTCTTCTGAAGACTGATTATCTTTAGATAGTATATATGATCTAAAGATGACCTAAATATATATAATATATGATGTAAGTTATCTATAAATGGCAGAATAAATAAGTAGATAAAGTGATGTTCAGTGAACATTCTGAGGTTGCAGTATTAAACATGATTTACTACAGTCACAGATGAGACGACATGCACAGGCTCAGCAGACTGTTGTGAGGATTCTTAAAGTGAACAGAGTCCACTTGATTCATTGGTGTGAACGCCTCTAGTGTATTTATCACAGATAGGAATGAGTTTGACAGATTTCGATATCACCTTCCTACTTTCACTGTTTAAAGATCTGGTACAAACATTGGACACTTGACTGTGCTATTATTTAAAACATAACATAATCCAATGGAAAATAATGTCTCAAATGAAAGTAATGAGAAGTGTGTGGGAACATATTGTGGCTGCTTATCAAAGGCTCCAGTGACAGTTGGAAGAGTGTGGTGGTACCTCCCATACCACATGTCGCTGATAATTACTGCATGGAGCTGAGAATCCATCACTCTACTTCACTATCTGCAAATATTAGAGACGGAACTCGACCTGGGCTCAAAGTGACAGTGTTGTATGTGAAGGACAATGTATTAATAAATAAACTACACACATACTATCTGTGCAGTGAAAAACACTGGTCGTGAGGAGGCCATGACAACATGGAGCCTGAAAGTCCTAGGAGAGAACTTTTTTCAATTAAATTCCTATGTTTATTCTGTTCCGCCCTAATTCAAAACAGCAGTTGTCTCGGAGGACTTCACAAAGTTGTCAATTCTGCAACAAACTGAAAGGAAGTGCGTGAGAACAGAGAGGACTAGGGATCATGTCCATTGGCCAGTTTTATAGGTCTAAAAATAATGATTTGAGGTCAGGACTCTCTGGTACAAATACCTGCTCTGGTACAATAAACTTAACATGAGCTTGAAGTTCTTGAAGAGAAATGTGGTAATGATGTAGTCCTTTGTAGATGTGTTTACGATTCCATATAAGGCTGACACAACTCACAAGTTTATAGAATGTTGTGTTTACAATATTGAATCAATTCATTTCTATAACTACTAAAAACTGAAACTGTGGCACATCAAGCCCACAGAACTCATCTGATTTTAGCATTTTGTACATTTCTATGTAAAATGTAATTTAGGCTTAGATTATTTTAGATGTATCATACTTTTCCTAATATACAGTATATTAAACATGCTTTTAAAAACAGATAATGATTACTTAATTAACTGCGTAGGTTTACTCCGGGTGCTTTGGTTTCCCGTTCCACTAAAAACATGCACACTAGGTAAATCCTCTGGCTGCGGTAGTCCTGAACAAGCCGAGCATCAACATCTGGAGATGGGTTCCCGGGCGCTGTGCTACGGCGATCACTGCTCCTGGCGTAAGCCTTAGTGGCATCAGGATGGGTCAAATGTAAAGGATGAATTGCCCTACGGGGATTTATAAACTGCACCTTTATCTTTATTAGTTTGTTATTATATATTGTCATATAAAACACAAAATGTGTTTGACTACACATTAAATAGTGTGAACATTGATACAATGTATGTTTACGTCATAATAATGTAATAAAGTATTTTATCCTTGTGGATAAATTGTGCGTTTCAACTATGCACCTGTCGATCAGGTGGTGACTTAGTTTGATTTTTTTTTTACTTGTTTTTGAATCCTTGTTTTTGGATCCTTTTGCACTTGTTTTTGAATCCTTGTTTTTGGATCCTTTTGCACTTGTTTTTGAATCCTGTTATTTGTTGAAGAACAATTAACAGATTACACAGAAAACCCGGCCCCATAGTTTTTGCCTTTCTAATTTATAAGTGGGATCAAACTCTGCAGATAGAAAAACTCATAAGTCCCCACCTACATTTTCTTTCTGGTAAATATGTAGAAGGTGTGTGTGTGTGTGGGGGGGGGGGGGGGGGGGGGGGGGGGGGTTCATACTATATGTTTGATTTGACTGGAAACACTAATTATACACGAATGTATTTTTGGTCTCTGTCGCATTTTTAGATCAGAGGACCATATTCACTCAGCCAATCAGAACTCAGCCCTAAGCATCAATGGTGACTCACAGGGCTCTGTCTAACAAGTATGAAAAAAATAACATGATTTCTACTAAGAAGGAGACAGCATGGGGTGGTCTGATTCATTCACAATATTTTACTTTCACAAGACACAGCACAAAAAATAATATAGGTAGTGCAGCGCAGTCTGTATATATACTCACAACAATATCTCCTGCCTACTACCAAATCCAACTGTTGCATCATCCATTACGACTCACTTGCCCACGCATCTTTCTGACGCCTGGGCACACAATAAAGAATAATCTGGTTCTTCCATCACCGAAGAGGCCAAAGTCTGCGCTCGGCTTTCCTCCATCCTTACCCTGCAAAACGATGCTCCCAAACGCGGAAGCAGGTCAGGTTTTCTCTGTATTATCACCTCAAGCATCTTTGTCCAATCCACTGAGCCACTAGTGCTGTGTGCATGCAGTGAGTGCGGGGAGACTGGAGGGGGAAGCGCAGAGCAAGGCAATGCGAGTGACCGCGGCTTGCACACAGATAGCTTCATGACAACCAAACAGGCTTAAAGCGAGACGGAGGAGAACCGCCCAGCACGCGTCCTTACCGGGGGGGACAGACCAGACCACACCGGGCCGGGGAAGGGTAGCTTTTCGGATATAGGGCGCTTTTGTTTTTAGCCCCACGGATGAGCTTTTGCATAGGTGTATTTTAAGGGGAATTTCGTGGTAACAGGTTAGCAGCCCCCCGAAAAACTACCACCACCACCACTGCTTACTACCACCACCATAACCTCCCCCTTCTTCGGCTGCTTCGTCTCAGCATTCACCGTGTCTTCCAGCGAACCATGGGAAACGCTGCCACAGCCAAGAAAGGCAACGAGCTAGAGAGCGGTGAGTTTATTAGACATTTGCGTGCTTTTCTTTTATTATGGTTAGCATTGAGGTTACGCCGCAAAGAACGCTGGGTAGCACGGAGTCGGTCGCGCGCGCTCGCATCCATATAAGAATTCATAGCATCCTCACGCGACGCTTCCCCCCCCCCCCCCCCCCCCCCGCGTGTGTGTTTTTATTATCACGTACGCGTTGGGTTTTTGTGATAACATTAGCAACAATAAAAATGGCCTTCTTGATAGCGTTAGCTTGTAGCCCGAAGACCCGCTTGTGTTGTTATCTTCTGCACGGGGTGGGGTGAGGAGGGTCGCAGAGCTGGGTGTAGTTGTTGGCCGATTACGCGTTGCCAAAAACATAAACGCACTCCGAGCTCATTTGTCTGCTTTCTTATACGCAAATCATTTATTTACATTGACAACCTGACGCTGTATATACACTGTCTTGCCTGCTGCTAACTTGGGTCGGGGGATTAGCCGTAGAAGGCCCCACATCCCACTGCCTCTTGATGGTGGTAGTAGTAGTAGTAGCTATTCAGGCCTTTATTACTCAGTTATGGCGATGCAAGCGTCCATATGCAGAGGAAATGCTTGAAATTCCTCACATCCTCACCACATATCTTGTCCTAAATGTGGTTCAATCAATAATTTAGACCTATGTCACTATAGTACTGTGTTTAACGCTTGCTTATCTACTCAACTACACTATACCCATAAAACATCACGCACACATTTGCAAGCCTATAAATAGCACTTGCATTTACTAGAAACAATTGTGCTGCATTTCCTCTCATGGAGCTCCCTGGACATATTTTATTCCCGTTACATAAACAAACCAATTCTCCCAGTGCAGCATCATGCCCAAGTATGGTGAGGAAATGACAAATGTGATGTTTCCATTCATAAAAAGCTCAAGACGTACTACTTGTATTTGCCTTCTTGGCATTCACGCACGTAAACAGTGTGAAGGAAGCCAAAGCGTGTATACCTCGTGTCTGGGAGCTATTTTGCTCTAATCTGACTGTGGTAGAGGACTCAGTTGTCATTGACTCGAGCAGCTTGTCATCAGACCTTCGTCAGAGGATAAGGAGTATTACAAGCTTTGAAAGGTTTGACGCAACTGGGCCCAGGACTGTGTTACTCCGCTTGTACGCACACTGATGGCACCACAAGATAAAGTGGCACAAACAATCACATTTATCTGTGTTTACAAACCAAGACACAGCAGATCATCCCGTTTGAAAGTCACTGCCTATGTTTTACACCGAAGTATGCGGAACTTGGGCTTATCAAATTCAAATCTAAGTTCTCAACGTCCTTTTACAAACTACTGTCTGCATTCCAATGAGGTTTATTAGCCTGTTATGAACAACCCATGCAGAGCGGCGTCCAGGAGGCATGGCCAAGCTGTGACTTCAGACAAGAGCTGGAGATTGCGTTTCTTGTTGGCCGTGATCCCTCGATCTTGACCGGCTAACTGCTGAAACCATTTAAGCTGACACTATGGCCCGACAAGCAGATTTGCAGAGCGACCTGGTTACCCACAATCCACTTCCTCGCTCTCAAAATATAAAAGAGCAGCTTGTGCAATAATTGTAAGAGATATAACAGCAGCGACAGAAGCAAAGTGAAGTGGATTTTTGTTCAATGTAGGACTCCACAATTTTAAAGAATTATATCATTGCGATTAAGATTTGAATGTTTAGTTATATTTGTTGAAATTATATGACAAGCAGGTTCTCAAAGCTGGAGAACCTAACTTTGAAACCACAAAAACGTACAGTAATTCATATAACTAGTTCCTCGCTCTCAAAACTGTTTGGCTCTGTCACTAGTTTTACATGTACTTTTGTCATCTAAGATGGTTAATAACTAGATATCCATTTGAGTATGTATCAATACTAAATTACATAAACAAGACATAAGTTGACATTTCTTGATACATTTAAAACTATATCAGAACTTTAATAAAAAATAAAGTATCCCCATAATAAGGATAATATTTGAAAAAAGTTTGAATTTTGATACTAGTTTAGTATGTTACTCTAAGTATTGTAACGTTACCCTTAGTATTGTCACATCTTTAGATTAGCTTGTCCAGAGAAGAAAGTACTGGCCCTCACTCCAAGGGCCAATCAGCCCTCAGTATGTAAAAGGGTGAAATGTTTTCTAATAAGATAAGGGCTGCATGTTGTGGTCTGATTTGTTCATAAAATGTGTCTTTCTGTTTGGAAAAACAAAATGTATTTATGCAATAAACAACATGTAGGTACACCAGCTTTAAAAACCAATTTTTTTAATTTACTATGAACAAATCCCTCCAAAAATGTCATGATGAAGTGGTTGGGCTTTTCCATTAGCAGATAAAAAGCATCAAATACACTCACATGAAGAGAAATACTCTTTTTTAATCTCTTATTAACCTGTTTTTGACTATTGCAGTGATCCTTGTGTTTCTAAGCCTGTTGCAGAGCTCTAAACACAGATAGCCACATATAATATGTAACTAGATCTTTTGCTGTTTGTAATGAATAATTACCGTCTTTGCTATTGGCTCATTGCGGCCACTAAAATTGCGAATTTGATTTGATTTGTGCAGCCGTAATTCAATGGAATAGTTCCATGGTATCCTCGTTTTTTCTTATGACGCTAATATACTGGTAAATGTTAAATTAAATCTTTTTTTGTTGTTGTTTTTTTAAATTAGATGAATAAGGGACGTACTGTACATTGCAAATTAGCCTTGTCTGTATGTTGGAGTCTGCCACATGTTTATTGAGTACACTTGTCGCTATCAAATAAATAAATAATGTTCCATCCTCGCATACAGTCCGATAAAGAGGTTTCCATCGTGACACCTCTTCTGTTTCACACATGCAGACTCGGCCCTGGCCCTGTTAGTTACACATGGGGCCAGAATCACATATCGCTGCTATGTTATGCCTGAGTGGCCTCGGCTCACAGCTTTAGCAGCTCACTTTTCCATTTCAAGTCAGCGGGCCATACTGGTGATGGAAAGACACCTGCGCAGACAATCAAGGACTATTTTGGAAGCTGGGAGGAATATATTGATGCACTGTCGTTGTGTTGTTGGTCTAATTCTAATTCGGATACACGTTTTGAGTTTGGGAAAATTACACAAGTTAGAAATTAATTTACAAATGTTAAAATCCTAATTTAGGGGAGACAGGGCCACCATTAGAACGAGGCCAAGGTGAACGGAAACAAATGTAATTTTGAGTGTGTCTAGTTTTCAGCAGGCATCATTTTAAGAGAAATAGTACTTTAAAGTCTCTGCATTGTCAATATAACTGGACAATCCCTTTTCATTTACTTAACTACAAAACTAATCAATTGTGTTTAAAGCTGGGGCACCTGACTTTCAAACTACAACAATTGAACTAATCCATCTCATTAGTTCCTCGCTCTCAAAACAGGGGTTTTATCACTACTGTCCAAATGCATGTATTTTGACTTAATAGATCTTTTTGACCAGATACAAAAAAGTGAAAAAGAGTGAATCTATCTCACTCAGCTCATCATCTCTCAAAGTGTCCAGTAGTGAATCACAGGTTCCTTCTTACAAGTATACAGCAGAGTATTTCACTATCTTTTATATTTTATGCAGTTGATATTCTAGCTGGTATCAGGAGTGTTTAGACATTTCCTGAGCAGTTCCTGGAACATTAGTTGTATAATAAAAATAAATAATATTACTGTGTGTGACAAAATACAGCTCATTGTAGTTAAAATTAAAAGTGTCAAAAATAAAAAATGTGTGATATTTTAGTATGAGGACAATTCATGCTTTACCAAACAGGTTAAATCTGTTGTCATTTTGCCCTTCACCAACAACTAATGTAGTGATCAGAACTCTTTCAACTGCTCCGTCCAGAAGTTTAGAACATGCCACAGGCAGAGAGACCCTCTTCTTCTGGTTGTATTGTAAATACAACCTCCATCAAGAGGCTTTGCTTTAGTATTTTCTGTGTACACTTTAGTAACCTACTGTTTTCACAGCATTGGGCATTCCCTACTATTAGAGTGATTATTCTCAGATTGATTTGCAAAGAAATCATTACAAATCGTTACAACAACAATCCTAAAGTTGTATCATCGTGTCTATGACCTACGATTCATCATTGTTTACGTTGCCTTTCATTCCTATTAGGGCTTCATCTGTAGTTTATTTGAAACTAATTTAACCCAGCACTTCAATGATATCATTTAAGTTTACAGTTTAAATTAATCAACTCAAAGCCCTGCACAATAAAGAGAGACAGTATTAAAAAGTAAAATCATAAATTATCACACAACATGAAGTACTTACAAGAAATAATCACAAGAAAAGAACAGATATTATTTTTTGTTATATCCACACTGTTTTTAACGTAGACTTTCAACGTTATAATAGAAACTTGTTCTAAGTAAGAACATAAAAAGAATATTTGTGTTACAACCCAGCAACTTTTAATGAGTGGTTTTGACGAATCAGGATGTAAACAGGGGCTGTCTAACAAGGAATTGAAAGTGAAAAATGTTCCCTCCTGACATTTGTATCTGCTGCATTTGCAGTGTGAGATTTGAACAGTGTCACGTCTCTCCTGAGTTGTACCCGGCTCTCCTGTTGCTCCAGTCCTTGTCAGGCCACAGATGTGCACCTCCCATGGCTCTCTCTCCCTCACCAAAGCAAACCCGCTGTGACATAAACAGTGTCCACTCCAAACAAAGTCCAAGTGGAGGGTGTACTCCACTCTGTGTACATAAACCTTACAGCCACTATAAACGTGCCATCGCCTCACACCACAACTATTCAGACATTACATTACATTACATTACTCTAGGGCTGCGAGAAGGAACCAAAATAGCAATTTAAACGGTTAATAATTTTCAAATAGACTGACAAAAAGACACACAAATCATTTCAATAACATACTTTTTAAGTCACCAAAAAGTTCTTCTGATTATAGTTTCAAACGTGGCAAAAACATATTTTTTCTCTCTCTTTGTAAATGGTCGACCAAAGATATTCTTGGTCGTCTACACAAATGTCCTGTTTATCGCTTAGTCAAATGTTCAAAATATTATTACTATGTAGGGAAAAAATCAGCAAATTTAGTAATTAATAATAAAATGGATAAATTGAGAATTTTAATATGCAAATAAATACCAACATCTGCTGTTTATTTCCATATCATCTCATTAGTGCAGTTTTTGCATTGGAAATTCTTGTAATTTAATTGAAATATTTAGTTGATTCTAATTAGTTATATAGAATAATTTTGTCTGTGTAGTGCAGAGCCATCAACCGATTCATGGACCAAACGACTAATTATTGACATTCCTAGTATCTTGCTTGTATCTTCTTTTAGCCTTATTTTAATCATCAATCCCAAATCAAACTGTGGTGTACGTACGTCCAGAAAATAGCAATTTTGTATTATTATTTTCAAAACCTTTCAGCCCTCATCACAATAGAACACACACATCCTCAGTGCTCTGCTTTATCTTCATATCACTGCATGACCGGTTACAGCAGCAGCGGCATGTCGTTCCGGGAACACCTGTTTTATGAAAAGTACAAATTCCTTCATTGTTTCATTGCGGTTTTTTTCACTACATATTTGTGATGTATGTTGATGTCTTATATTTGTATACTCTCTTTCCTGTCTTCTCTTCATCTCATCCGTGTGGGTGAATGTTCCGGCAAAACTTTGGTGAACTGTAGAGACATTTGGTACGCTCCTCAAGAAGAGAGATGGCCAGATTAGCACTAGTCGGCATTGCTGTGACGCTTGCCTGTGTTGTGACCTGCATGCCTTTTTAATATGTACATGTTTTTATCTACATTCTCTCAATCTGGATATCTGCTTTCTGCTGTCTTGCCCATACATTGGTTTGTCTCTGCTTGTTTTTGGCTGTGTTGAGCATATATAGGAATCCTTGTGGTGGCCATTTGTGACCCAAGTAGTAATAATAATATAATAATAATAATAATGAGTGTTGTGTTTTTGAGACTAAACACTTTTTTGTTTCAATCAAACAAGTGTCTTGCCCTGCATCACTTCTTGTCTGCCTGAATTCAATGTCGAGTGACCACCTGTCTCATTATTGCTCGTTATAAGGACGAAAGGAGGATTTGTGAGGAAAAATGTATAATTTGGACTCAAAATCTGCATAGCGGTGGGAAATATTAAGAAAAAATGTGATGGCAAACAATTTGAAATAGAACAGACAGCAATTAGTTGAAGTTACTTTTGACTTTTATGGAACTACTATATGAAAGTTCCAATGAAGATAAGATAAGTTAAACATCAGGTTTGAAAGAAATTACTGATAATTGATTAGTCCTATTTAAATATGTAATAAACAATCAATACTATAAGCACGTAACTTGTAAGTGCATCTGGTTGTACATACAAGGACTCAAGACAATCTTGCTAATTCACATTTATCGTTGTATAACCCTATTTCACAACAGCAGTCGTCTCGGAGGACTTCATTCTTCAATCTGTTATTGGAAAATTTAACAATTTCAACTTTTCCTCTTGTCCTTTTTTAGAGAACCTTATTTATAAAACAGAATTTTTACGTAAAGCTGGGGTACCTTACTTGGAAACCACAAAACAATTAACCAATTGAGGACCCCCTTGAAAAAGAGATGATTCATCTCAAGGGGCAATCCATAGTAAAAAAAAGAATATTTTTTTGGTTCTATCTCTAGCTTTCATGTGCAACAGCTTTATCAGTGAAAAGAGAGGGCCGCCCTCACTCAGCCAACCAGCTCTCAGTATGTAAAAGATTCAGATATAGACATTATGTTGTGGTCTGTTTTTTTTCACCAAATTTAAACAAGATTCTTTCTGTACAAACAAAATATATTTATATAACAAAAAGTCAAGTACTCCAGCTTTTTCATTATGTCCAGTCATTCAGGACTTCAGCTCAAGCTCTGAAACCTGTTTTAATATGATAATTAAACCCACACAAGCCTGAATTATGCACTTTTCTCACAAAAACATCTGTAATTAGTGTGCAATTAACTATTTGTCAACATGAACTTTTGCTGATTTGTATTATGTTTCTATTGCCTTCATCTCAGGCGCTGAAATGTTGTCTTCAAAATTGAATTAGCAATAACAAACAATCAGGTCATAAGACATTTATACATTTCATCATATCGTCCTCTTTTTGTGGTGGTCGCTCGACTTGAATGTTGTCATTTTGTGTTTTGTGACGTGTTTTAGTGCAGAATAATGTGTTCCTTCTGTGTCATGTTATTTAAATGTACAGTATATCCAGATGAGAGTTGTTTCTTCTCCTTTAACACCTTTCCTCGTCAGCATTTTTCAACCTTTCCAAACTTTCTCCTTTTCCCAACTGACAGTCTTTTCATCTACACTGTTAGCAGAATTTCTCTTTCTTACTGTATTTTCTGTTTGATTTTAGTGAAAGAGTTTCTAGCCAAAGCCAAAGAAGACTTCTTACGCAAATGGGAATGCCCCGCACAGGTCAGTATGTGCCGTTTGTTTTTCTCTATTTCTAAAAATTTTACATGAAAAAAATGCATTTTCTTCCGCTTTATCCGTTACCGGGTCATATCCAGACTTCCCCATCTTCTCCCTGGAAGGATATGCCCGAAAGTCTCCCTCAAAAAACAATTTATTTTTAAATTATTAGTTATAAACGGTTTCTTCACTATGTTTACATGCAAGCCAGGAATACCAAACTTCTGGCATATTCCAGGATTAAAATAAATAGGTAAACTAGATAATTTTTCCGTATACTCAAAAGGAAAATTCTTTGTTTCTATTCATAATGTTAATTTAATTTGTAAAACTCCTATGCAACAGACAGGTTATATTTAAATTAACTTTTACATTGTTTTTACTTCAGACTGTGAGAAAAAATAATCACATCTTTCTACAGTCTTTACACTAAGCTTCCAGATTCTACTGTACTTAAGAAAATTGACTTTTGAGCTTTTAACCATCTTACATTACATCAAATACAGACCTGGAGATGTTTTTGAATCTGTGCATGGTATTTTTGGGAACTTCTGACACAAACATGTAACTCTGCCCCTTCTGTTGAAAATCTTCTGTATTAGTTCTGTGATCTGATGTTATTGTATCGCTAGGACATCATTTCAAGTGAAATTACATTCTTTAGAACCAATTTAATATGTTTTTGTTGTATATAAAAAAACTACTACTCCCTCTGGTGGTTCCAAGAGGAGTTACAAGCAGGTATCATTTTTCACCCTTTATACTTGTTTCACTAGGGCACTATTTCACACTCTAAACCAGGGATGTCAAAGTCCAATACATCAGAGGGCCAAAACAACAAATTTTCTACAAGGCGAGGGCCGGACTGGTTCAATGTTTATTTCGATGATTGCGTGTAATTGTACCGAGACCTAACACAGTGTACCATATTTGATCAAAAAAAAACTTCCTTCAAAGAGAAAACACATTTGCTTAACATTAAATTAATAATCTAATATTTTCTTATGGCTCTGTGCGGCCGGTTCTCATACTAATCAAATATCATCCCGGGGGCCAAGAAAATGTCTTCGCGGGCCAGATTTGACCCCCCGGCCTTGACTTTGACACAAAGAAAAAAAAACAAGTAAACAGTTCCATTAACATTATCCATAAAATTACGTCTTTAAAATCCATTCATCCTTAGAGCAAAAACAATGTATTCATCCAATAAATAACTTGTTCCCCGGTTGCCCCCTCGACACGTGTAGGGCCTTATGGTTCTGTCACTGGAGCAGGTGAGTCAGAGCAGCCACTTAACCGCAAACCTGCCTGTGTCATTGTTTAAGGGGAATGTCCGACTCTAGCAGCTTTGGCGTGTTTTAAGTGCGCTGCAAAGGGCAAATGAGGAAAGAACTATGCATTTCCAAGCATGTCCACAAATCAAAAAGTATGTGCAATGTTGCTATAACTCTTATTTGCTAGTGCATGGTTATAGGAATATGGCAACAACAAAAAATACAGAGAGTGTAGAAGAGTCACGCATGTAAACATTTTGACTGAAAACAATGGTCGAAAATGGGCCATAACAAGAACCTGATACGTGACCTGCTGATCCAAATACCTTTATTATGCTTATTATGCACTGTAGGGATGGGATGGTATTACATTCATGGTATGTCTTGTATTTGTATTTCTATATCTCAAGTTCGCAAACATATACTAGATCTATAAAAGCACACTGGCAGAAAGACGTCAGAAAGATAATTCATGTTGTGTGTATTATGTATCCTAGACAGATACTTTATGGCCTGTTATTTTTCTGCCCTGTTTCTCACAAATAATGAATTAAAGGATCTGTTAAAGCTGGGTTACCTAACTTTTTATCCCCTCAATCAATCCATATTATTTGGAAAGAGTTGAGTGAAAGTAAAATGTGAACTAACCAGAAAGATTCCCGTGTGTCACTATTTGGCTGAGAGCTGACGTAGGGTGGTCCTTCTTTGTCACTTTTCTGTTTGAAAAGTGAAAAAGAAGCAAAGACATGAAAAGCAGTGATTGAACCAAACTGGTGTGAAAGAATAGGGACTTGTTAGATAGTTTTTTGTATCACATAGTTTATATTTTTATGGTCATAAAACCAGGCACCCCAGCTTTAACACCATCAGACGTCCACCCTCTACTAATACCATGGCATACCATTCTATCATGTACTGTCCCATCACTAGTGCAGCAATTTTTTTCCTCCACAGTTCAATCAATGGCCTGTGTTGTTTTGTCCCTACAGAGCACAACGTGCCTAGACGACTTTGAGAGAATAAAAACCCTAGGTACGGGCTCCTTCGGAAGAGTCATGCTCGTCAAACACAAAGGAACAGAGCAATACTACGCCATGAAGATCCTGGACAAGCAGAAGGTCAGTCCCAACAACGCAAATGTAATGTAATTGGGTTTTGAATATGGTTAGATTCGGTCAGATAAATGCAGTCAGCCAAATTTGTACTACAATAGGGCAACAGGTAAGGTAAGATTAAAAGATAAACCAAATAGTGGAGCAGATGGTTTGAATTTTATTTATTTTTTTAGCCAAGAATCCAACAGGAACAAAGCCAAACTGGACAAACTATTTCAGGATTTATTACTGCCACATTTTTGTTTTTATTTTCTTTCATAATTTCTATTTTTATTTTCAAATTATACAAAAAAAACAGTCAATACCAGGGCAGAAACCAAATAATATGACTTTAGATATTAATTCCAAGTTTAAAGCCATAGTAGGTATCCTTTTAGCCAAACATTATAGAAGCATGTTTAAAATAATTGTGTTTTTGAAAGAAGTATAAAAAAAATTCTGAAGGAGTGTCTTTTTCTCCTGACGTACTGTCACTTTAAATTGTCCAAATGAAATGCATTGTAGGTCAGATGGCGTAACTTGTAAATCGTAAACAGAAAATGCAAATAAGGGGGAGATATTAATCCATTTCCTCTTTGCAAAATGATTCTTCCTTCAGACGGATTTGTATTTATACTCTACTCTCCACAGTATATAGCGATGGCCCAGCTGGTTTTAGGACCTATAACCCCCAGTCAATTATCTTCAGAATAAAAAACATATATAGTAGCATTTTTTACAGGAGCTGTCCTGGTTTAGGCTTGGTTTGAATATGATTAATATTTTTGAATATGATGAATATTTTTGCTTTTTTTGTCAACAAATCAAATGTTGCAACTAGGGTTAAATATAGAATGTGCATTGTATCTGGCCTAGAATCTATAGTCCTCTGAAAATATGTAAAATTCACCTGTTTATAATGTGATAATTTCCATAGTTACAGAGGGGTAAAAAATGGCAGCCAGCTTTTCTCTACTAGCATAAGGCTTGTCGCTAGCTAACAAATCTGACTGGCATTCAAGCATGTATGGACTATAATTGACTTGAAAAAATTGTCAGCGTTCAATGGTGGTTGTCAATATTTGTTTCCCCCTCCGTAACTATGGAAATGAACATGATGCAATAAGGTGCATAGAAAATAATTGATAGAAGTTGAAAAGCTTTGATCTAATGGTATCCCCTGCTTTCAACTAGATTCCCAAAGCATTAGAGATGTCCAGTTTTAGACAGATTAATGTTTGTTTATTTAATTTATTATTATTATTTTATTATTTATTTACCACTGAGAATAATAACCTATTTTTTAAGGGAGTCCTGGACACGAGGCAGCAAAAGTTACATACAATTACATACAATTTCAGATTATAAAAACAGTACACACAAATTCATAAAATTACAGATTATAAAAACAGTTACTTATAAATTACTCTGGAGCAAAGAAAATGTTCCGAACCAACGGCTACATCACGGCTGCTGTGACCTTATTACTATAATTACTAGAATGATTTGTTGCTTTGTTTATATGTTTGGATGTGTTTCTGCTGCTACTACTAGACATCTGAATTTCTCCTATGGGGGATCAATACAGTATCTATCTATCTATTGTAAATATGTATGCCAGATGCCAACATTTGTGCAGTAATATATGGAATGCCCTGCTACCCGTACTGTAGTCTGTGGCCATCTGGCACCGCTCTGCTCTGTAAAGGTTTCTCTCTGGGGGGGAGCAGTCTGAACACCACTGGTTTTACCGACGGCCAAGCGCCTTAGTTCAGACTGGGAGATGAGCTGTTCTTCCACGGCGGCATTTTCCGCTGTGCCGCTGGTTCATCACACTTTGAGGTCATGTTCTCTTGTTCTGTCAGGTGGTGAAACTCAAGCAAATAGAACACACGTTAAATGAGAAGAGGATATTACAGGCCGTGAGCTTCCCCTTTCTCGTCAAACTCGAGTATGCCTTTAAGGTAAGATGTATAGATTTTCATTCCTATTTCCTGCAGTTTATTGTGTATAAATCGACCGTCACAGTCTACAGTAGCTATTCTCTCGCCATCTTTACCTTTGATACAGTTCTGTTTGAATCTAAGCATAACTGTACTAATATTCAAGGGGGGGAAATACCAAAATTCCAATCCCGAATTCAATAAAAGTTATAGTTTGTTCAAAAAACCTCCATGATATAAAAGTAAGTACACACAATAACCAGAGGCTTGAGCTATAAAGAAGCCTTCCACAAATAAAATACTTACGGTTCACGTTTTCTCTCCTTCTTTTCTTCAAAATGAGCCTTTTCCCACCAATATCCATCATTGCATTATTGTCATAGCCTCAAACCCCTCTTTTATTTGTGTCCTAAGAGAAAAAAAAGTATTATTGTTTTATAATCTGCACTGAAACCGTCCATCCACCACAGAAAAAACATACTGTATCAGTGGACATTGATGAACCTATAATTATGATCTAATTTATTGCATTAAGTTTTCTCGTTTGTCAAATCTGATAATGAAGCAGACAAAACATGCAACTTTTCACAGCTTTACGTTATATTTGTTTTCCCTTGTCATTTACAAAGCTGTTTTTAGAGTAATTCATGCAGGTTTGTGTCATTTCTCCTAAACTTGAGGACCATTGCTGACCCCCGACTCCTGTGGCCACACGCACCCTTTACTCACTTGTAGCATTTTTGTTCCAAGGAAAACAAAATGACGTCACATGAATGATTTTTATTTCAACATTGATTCATTGTTAAAAATACATCGATCGTCAATATTTTGCAGATAGAGGCAAATCAGACATGTTGTGCTTTGCTATAGTTTTCATTTCACCATTTTAATTTTTTTTGTTCTCAATGTTGATCCTAAAATAATTTAATCAAAGAAATTAGTCTGCTTATTTCTTCATCCAAAATTGCAGGACATTTATGGCTCCTATGTGTCTGTTATTATTGCATTTTCAGTGTCCGAGCTGCTTGATTTTCTGATCTGTTGCTGGTGAATCGACAACTTTATAAAGTCCTCCTGTTGTGGCCTATACAAAAATAAATTGAATTAAATTACTGAATTATTTTTTCCCGCCTCTTTCCGTCTATACAACCATAAATGAGTGGCGTGGTTACATAGCAGGTCATACTATTAGCGATCAATATTGGTTTCCATTCGAGCCAAAATGTCTGTTCAACACTGCCAAATAATAATGTGTTATTTTAAGGGATGGTCACAGTAATGGCACTTTGAATGAGAATGAAAGGTTTCCCAAACTAGCTTGAATCACAAAATAACATGTTCCTTCCTATTGTCCTGTGTTTTAAGAAGTATTTTCTATTTCAGGACAACTCCAACTTGTACATGGTGATGGAGTACGTTCCTGGTGGGGAGATGTTTTCACACCTAAGACGAATTGGCAGGTTTAGGTATGAAACAATAACTATGAGTCATTGCTTCATGTATTATTCACTCAATAATAACTTTCTCTTTTGTTGCAGTGAACCACATGCAAGGTTTTATGCTGCCCAAATAGTGCTGACGTTTGAGTACCTCCATTCGCTAGATCTCATTTACAGAGATCTAAAACCAGAGAATCTCCTCATCGACCACCATGGCTACATTCAGGTGAGGAAAGAAAACCTGATGGGGTATTTCAAGGGTGCAGGCAAAAGATTCAGATTTTAATTCATTTTATTTGCCATTTGCAGTAAAAGTACTTTGGAATACATTTGCCAAAGTGCTCAGTGTGCACCAGATACATACATACATAAATAAAACAGCATTGATTTTTTTAAAAGAACTGGTTTTAGGTACCTAATTTGTAGTTTTGTTTCATGAATACATTCGCTTTGTCCCAACAGAATGAGTTTAGTTTCATTTGGTTTTGACTCTATAAAGTACTCTCAGTCTGGAGATGAAGTAGGGAAGGTGGGTGGTATGGAGAGGGGGGTAGGAATAGAAACAAATTAAAAAATAATAATAATACACACATTGTACTTTTTGTCATTAACTGCCATTAACTGCATTTAATTGTGTGTAAATAAATACGATAGATAGTAATAATAAAAAGTTACATTTTGTGAAGACATCTGATCACATGCTGACTTTATCTCATTAGAAAAGATGTTATCTTTCACATACTGAGAGCTGATTGGCTGAGAGAGGGTGGTCTAAAGGTTTGACCGAGGCCAAACATACATACATGTGAAAACCCGTGACTGTTTTGAGAGCAAGGTACAACAGAAGTTAGTACAATTATGGGTGATACTTAAATCAAATACGGTAAAATGATTGAGTTAATTCCCTTACCTACATTCGTTATCTGCAAAGTAACTAGATATTTGAAAATGTAAGGAGCAGAGAGTTCAGATATTTTAAAAGTTAGAAGAAAGTAAAACATTGTCAGAAGAAATATTGTAGTTAAGTATTGATATCAGGAGAAAATACTTTAATTTCTTGCCCCCTGTTATTTTTTTTATTTTTATAGAAATGTAGAAATACTTTACTTACTTGCCACCTGTTTGTTTTTATTGTGTATAAATGTAGAAAAACTTTACTTACTTGTCACCTGTTACTTCTTTTTAATATGAAGTATATATATATTTTCACATGCATTCACATAAACACAAAGACAGATATACAGAACTGCACAGTACTGTTTTGAAAGTTTAATCCACAAAAACGTACCAAAGGAATGCGTTTGTTTGTCCAGGTGACAGATTTCGGCTTTGCCAAGAGGGTAAAAGGTCGGACCTGGACGTTGTGTGGGACACCGGAGTACTTAGCACCAGAAATTATTCTCAGCAAAGTAAGAATATTGAATTTATGCATTAGGCTTTCTATATTTTCCTGCATCTTATCACATCAGTGAGAAATGCTCGTGCCTCAGACAAAAGTAGACAAAACGTGTTCAAAATTAAATATGAAATTTCAGTTTGACCTTTTTAGGGTTGCAACAATACATCAATTTTCGGAGTAATATTTACGCTATAGTTGAGCTCTATTTACAAACTGTGAAACTGGAATGTGCTGCTGAGAGACATGATTTATAACAGAGCAGAAGTTGCATAAAACCAACAGAAAAATTGCAATTGTCTGAAGATTTTATAGAAACACATTGCATAGCGTCATATTGTACAGATCACTGCATTTTCAACAAGTGTGCAGTTTAGATTAAATTAGAATTGAAAGTGTTTCATTCATTGTAGGATCTGAATTTCTCCTTAGTGAGATCAATAAAGTACATCCTATCTTATATCATTGGAGAACATATGTCTGCATGTTTCTCGTTCACATACATTTTGGTTAAGTACGTACATTTACAACATAGTTTGACATACGAGACCAAATGGTTAAAAAGCATCTAACGAATGAATTATTGTTATATTATCCCTAAAAAATACACAACACAAGCTGAATGTTAGGACAGACTTTTGATAAATACTTTTTTTGGCTTAGATTTGTATTTCATGTATTTATTTATTTTTTACATATATACAGTTTGTTTCCATTGAATGAGACAGGCTTTGATTCATTCTGATTTGGTCCAATCAGGAAGTAAGATGACAGATTTTACTAAGATCTTGTTATGGTTGAGAGTCGATAATGTATGTTTTAAAATGATTAGTTTAACTCTCATAAGGGTTTTGCTGGAGTTGAATTCTAGTTGTAAAAATGTTGTTCTGTTTCCAGGGCTACAACAAGGCAGTAGACTGGTGGGCCCTGGGAGTCCTCATCTATGAAATGGCAGCCGGCTACCCTCCGTTCTTTGCGGATCAGCCCATTCAAATCTATGAGAAAATTGTGTCTGGAAAGGTAATGTACCGGCCTCGAGATTTCACTTTTATTCAACTCTTTAAACCAGTGATGGAATGAAATGGAATGGATTCTTTTGGACTTTTTTAGTTTTTATTTCTCTGACAATAAAAACATACTTTCTATATTATTATATGATTTCAGAACACATACTGTACACATGGGTACTTATCAACCATGAAAATAGTATCACCCAAAAAATGTTTTAAAAAGTCTGCAATTTTTATGGTAGAACAAATATTTAAACAATTATTCATCCATATTTTTTTATCTAAAGATCTGTGTGAAATTTTTTAGTCTCAAAGTAGATTTTTTTTAAAGAGGCACTTTCAGATTTCAGTAGATTTTGTCATTTAATACTTTTAATACTAATATTATTATGCCATATTTTGTTGCTTATGTGTCAGTACTTTTTAATAAATGTCAAATTATGTGGCAATGTTACATATGTTATACACAATTGTTTTTTTTAAATCTCTTACAACATTGTTCTCTCATCCAAAAGCATACTTTGACTTTGTTTAAACTCCAACAAAACACGTCCCCTTCTGTCCAAACACTGCTTTTTCAAAATTACGCCAAATTACATGATTAACAACTGTGTACCTTCAAATAAATCATGGTCAATTTTGCTCTAAATCTAACAGATATATATATAATTTCCCACTTCTAACTCCAATAGCCATGTTTATCCAAATATTTTCTAGTTAAAGCTGGGGTACCTAACAACAAACAAAAACAAAAAATTATCTATGTATGGTGATAAAAAACTTGTTCTTTGCCCTCTTACAAGTCTGTATAAAATTAAGACATAATGAGGCCTGATATTGTTTTTACATGTTTAACTTTTTCTGTACATTATACTTTATCGTTCATGGAAAGAGTTAGGCTCCCCAGATTTGTTCTCAAGATCAAAATGAACATAAATCATGCGTTCTGCTTGTGTGTGTGTAGGTACGATTCCCTTCGCACTTCAGCTCAGACTTGAAGGACCTCCTGAGGAACCTGCTGCAGGTGGATCTGACCAAACGCTATGGAAACCTGAAGAACGGCGTCAGCGACATCAAGGGACACAAATGGTTTGCCACAACGGACTGGATCGCCATCTATGAACGAAAGGCAAGGGCGCGCCAACTCCCTGTAGCCTCTGTAAACACGAGTTAATGAGATATTGACTTATAGATTAGGAAGTAGCTGTGTCCAGGGATTCCCTACTGTCAAGCTGCAAAACTGTTATTGCAAAACCATGACAAAGTTATCTATGGTCCGTGTGGTGATTATTGTGTGAATAGACGACAAGGACACTATTGTTTGTTTGAAACCAGATATTTCACAGTGCAGTCAGTGATTCTAGTCATTTGGTTTTCACTGTGGATTCACTGTGCTCATTGCCACAAGCCATCTAGCTTGGAAGTTTGGCATAATGGAGGACTTTGATTAATCAAAGTAGTTGTTACGGCGTATTAAAAATAATCAACCTTGATATCAAATTTAATCAGATTCTGGCAAGCCCCCTGCATTATGCTTTTAGATTGATGCGTGAGTATAGACATCTATGTATGTATTTTAGAGGAAGTGTACAAAGAATTTGAATATGTTTAGATATGTTTTTCATTGCAAAAACCAGAGATGGGGACTCACTATATTTATTGACTTGCGACTCAACTCGGACTCGTCCCCTAAAGACTCGGACTTGACTCGGATTCGTGGTTTTTGAACTCGTGAACATTGCGAGTCCTATGGCATGGCCTGCTGACGCTTCCATCCATTTCACAGTATACACAGGCTGGTAAGTCTTTGGATCTGGAACCCAGTGGTTAGATCCAAATAAGCATCTACGCACCTACATGTTTAGTTTAGTTTACTTTATTTATTTGATCAGGGACAATGCACAAACAACATTAGTCTAAAAAAGAAGAGATGTCATGTGCCAGGTTATAGCAAAAATGCTAATTTCCACCCGCAGTCCCTGGACAGGTTGATGTTATACTTAAAAGAATTCATAAAATATATACAGAATAATACATAAACGCTTACATCATAAAATATATACAGAATAATACATAAACGCTTACATCATAAAAGCACTTTCTATCATTCACTCTCGCTTTCAGTATTCACATACTTCTTGGGTTTTTGACCGAGGCACACCAAGCTATTGGAGTCATAATTTTAATGCATAGGAAATGAGACTTGGTCTTGTGGGTCAGAGACTTGTGTGCATCTCTGGTAAAAAAAAAAACATTGTTCCTTTTTTGAGTTGACATCTCTAATAAGATAAGATAAGATGTGCTTTATTTGTAATGTAAGAATCATGTTAAAAGTCATCAGTCATTAACATCCATGTTGTCTTTTTAAGGTGGAAGCTCCATTCATACCAAAGTGCAGAGGTCCAGGGGACACCAGCAACTTCGACGACTATGAAGAGGAAGAGATCCGCGTTTCTGTAACGGAAAAATGTGCTAAGGAATTTGCAGAGTTTTAAGATGAGTGACCATGGATATATCAGGGAAATAAGGGGATCTTTGCACTCTTCAAAAAGACTTTGGGATGGAGCAGAGACCATTGGTTTTCTTCTTTTCAGATCTACAACATAGTTCCTTCATTCCATTCAGCTCAACAATCCTCTGGTGCCGAAAACCTTCACTGTCACATGCACCTGCTTTAAAGGCAGACACACCACTTTTACTTTTTTACTGTCACTATTTTTTACTTTCAAGCAGTTAGTCTTGGATGTTGTACACCCCTTTTGAAATGTGAGATTATTTTCAGTTTTTCAGAAAAAACTCAGACAAAGGCCAATGTTAGCCCATGCACAGAAACGGAAGGAGTGTGGAGGTTTGACATACAGATTGAATCATGGGGAGTTCCCTCGATGTTGGGTGGTCTGTTACAATGGCCCGCTTTCACAGCTAGTATTGTCCTATGTGCATATCATCCGTTGTGTAAAACTTTATTGAACACTCAATGTTTGTTTTTAAATCATGACCAAATCTAGTTCATCGGAAGACACCAGAAGAGAGGTTTTTTTCCTTTCTTTGCTTTTGCCTTAGAGAGCCCAGTGGTCAGATCCAAAGAAGCATCTACGCACCTACATACTTCTTGGGTTTTTGACCGAGGCACACCAAGCCATTATAGTCGATGACAAACTGTTACATTAGTAAAACACATGAAGTCTAATTGCTTTGATCCTTCTGGGTCTGCTAGTTACATGTTTTATCTACTTTATGTTGCTGTGACTAACCTTATAGGATAGTTGTAGAGCTGCACTGTATCTGGAGAACATTCTCTGATGACACGTAGAATCCAAAGTGTACATCTGATTCTCCGTAAGTTTGGTCGATAAACGTCAAAGCAGTAGGCAGCCAAGGCCACATCATGAGCCACGTTCAGGCAGCGTAGCGAAAACCCAGACAGTTCAGTGCATCTTTCACAATATGAATTTGTCTGCATGTTTTTTCCCCACAAGGATACAGTGCAGTCCTGCTTTGTCGTCATATTGCTCCGGTATTTCAGGTCTGCTTCTGAAGACCGTTGTTACATATTATGGAACAATATTGACCAAAAAGAAAATAATTTTATCCCTTTTATTGGATTAATGTAAAGTTAATGTTTTGGCTTTGTGCCATAACATTGTTAAAGAAACTTTAAAGAGTAAGGCAGAGTTTATAATATAATGAATTAAATATGTGAAAACAATATTGACAAAGACGATATATTATTTTTCATCACCCACCAACAAAATTTGTTCGCATCAAAAGAATGTTGTTATGCAACCTTAAGGTATTCATGTTTGAAGGCTTGGTTTTATCCTACACATTTACGTACCAAACACTGGCTGGCTGAATAAAGTGAGGACTGCTCCTTTGTATCACATGTAACCCTGTCATTGTTAAGCTCATTACATTATACGTATAAGCATTGTTTCATATGTTTTTATTTATACACATTATAGATGCTAATAAATTTTATTTTTAAAAGTGTTTTCTGTGCAAACTTTGGATCAGTTTAAGTATATGAAGTGAACAGGTCATGGTCAATTACAGCGCCATGGAAATTATGTATTAAAGTATAATTGTTTTTTAATCTCGAGTGGGAAAAGTCTCAAAAGAATAATGAAAGCCATGAATAAGGATTTGAGTGGAATGATGATTGTCTGTGTACAAGGAAGAAATGGTTATGTTGGTTATGTTGACTTGCCATTTGATCCAATAAGAATGCAATGTCTTGGGATTGGCATACCTGGATTTATTTTTATTTTTTGACTCTGTTGTCAAAACCCACTTGGTAATAAGAGCCACAGACTTAAACTAAAAACCCACAAAATAACAAGTAGGCTTTGATGTTTAACCCTCCTCTGAACTTCAGTATTCCCACAATTAGAGTAAATGAGTCAGCGGAGGTTAAAACTACAGGACATACTTATAGCTTCACAAGTCCAGCTTGGGTTGCCAATTGTAAGCGTTTTAGAGGGTGATTGGGTTTATCAGGTAAGATTATATTGTTTTGAGATTTTATTGAAAACTTCCCCACTAGTTTATTTTCCTCACCTTCAGTAAACAACATTTCTTCACTGTTTGGCATCGTCTTTGGGAAAAAAGGCATAATCAGGAAGAAAGAACTATAAGACGTAAGAAAATATGGCATGTATGTGAGTCACCATCAAATAATGATCTGGGTAATTTGTGGATCCCTCCTCGTGTAAACAACTTCACTGTTCAGCAAAACTAAAAAGTCCAAAAGAAAGCAACGTTTTTGTGCTGATAAGAGCAAATAAGTAGAAGAGTCTGCAATTATAGGGTTTTAAAAAATGTTTGGTTTAATTAATGGTCTTGTGAAAATAGCAAGAAAACAGATCCATCCCACAACAACATGGCGATATCCCTCGGAAAAAAACAAATGGCCAAGAATGTTTTTTTTTTTTTTTATCATGGATCTATAATAATAACGGTTTGTATTTATTGTTTCTTATGAAAATGATGTGAGTAGGCGGAGCCAAGCTGCAATGACGAAGTGACTTCTGGGTAATGAAGTTTAATGGTCCACGTGGGAGTTTGGAAACATGGCGGGTCTGGAGCTGCTGTCGGATCAGGGCTATCGTTTGGATGGAAGAAAAGCCAACGAGCTGCGGAAAGTCCAGGCGCGGATGGGAGTGTTCGCTCAGGCGGACGGCTCTGCTTATATCGAGCAGGGAAACACCAAAGCCCTGGCTGTTGTCTACGGACCGCATGAAGTGAGTGGCGTCTTAGCCGCGTATGCTAAGAACTGGCGTTAATATCATGGATGTAACTAAGTCATTCCTTTGATTCATGTAGGGTTTAAATTGTGCACTTTAGAACAAGAATAGTTTTAAAAGTGAATTTCAGTAAAATCTAATCTGAAAGTTTCTATCTCTCAAATTAATTTGATTTATATCACGAATTATAATGTTGTAAACCGCGTCATACCAGATTTTTCATCTTGTTAAACTCAGAAGAGGGAACCCTTTTACTCAGCCAATCGACCTGCATGTGTGAACAAGTCGCCTCCCCGAGGTTTGTCTCTCCCTCCCACTGGGTTATTACCATGGATCTATAGGTGTATGCACCTTGCCGATGCAGAAAGGTCTCAGCCGGACATTTGCGGACATTGGTCATCTCGCTACCCTGTGGATTAAAGTCTCTGTGGTGTATGCGTTACTGCATTCTGTATTCTAATTGTTTGATTCTCTAATCTTCTCCAAGGGTAATCCTGCGGTGAATTGGGGCCATACAAAACATTTCTAATTGAATTGAATCAGCTCTCAGTCCAAAGCGTTACATTTCTAATTTTTCATAGGTTTGAGTTTATTGTGATTAAATCTGATCCCAATTTTTTTCCTTTACAATAGTCTCTCTGTTTGGAGTTTGGGACAAAATGTATATATCAACAAAATAGGTCCTGCATTAGTGTAAGTAAATGATCCAAGGATACTGAAATAGCCTGGTCTTACCACACCGTTGTATGAATTTAATTGTAATAACTGACCAGAGTTTACAGATGACTAAAGCCAGGCTAATACTGAAATAGTAATGTGAATCACATGCTCAAACTGGGCCATGCCCAGTTCACCAACGTTGAGGAAAACTGATTATATCTGTGTTGTTTTTCAGATGAGAGGTTCCCGGAGTCGCACTCTTTATGACCGTGCTGCCATCAACTGTCAGTACAGCATGGCAACCTTCAGCACGGCAGAGAGAAAAAGAAGACCTCATGGAGACAAGAAGTCCACAGAAATGAGCCTCCATTTGAAACAGACTTTTGAAGCAGCAATCCTCACCCAGCTCTACCCTCGATCCCAGATAGACATCTTTGTAAAGGTAGATGTTTAAACTTGAGTCTTTGAGCTTTCCCCCCATAGAGCACTTTGTAGCACTTCAGTGAAGTCTGCTCCTCTGTAGCAGAGGCCGTATCCTGCTAACATTTGTGTGAGGGCATTTACAACAAACTGCAGAGGCTGCTACTGTCACATGAACTGATTAATGTTGTGGAACTAAATTGTATTATAATTATGAAATATAAAACAATAAAACAAAACCAGAAGGTGGAGGTGGTAATGGGGTAAAATTTTACTCAAATGTATATATGTTAACTGTTACTACACCTGGTTATTAAACAAAAAATATCAATCATATTCCGAACAGAAAGCTGCTGTTCTTGCAGACTTAATGACTGAGAAAAAGCAAAACTCCTTTGTACTTACAATTCAATGAGAAATATGAATATATATATTTTTAAGAAAAACAAATGCAACTGATTCAGTAAATTGCATCTGATTTATCCATGTGTTTTGTCTCTTTACAGATCCTTCAGTCAGATGGTGGAAACTACAGTGTGTGTGTAAATGCTGCGACTCTGGCTGTGATTGATGCTGGGATCCCAATGCGGGACTACGTCTGTGCTTGCACTGTGGGCTTCGTGGATGAGACTCCGCTTGCTGATCTCTGCTACACAGAAGAGAATGGTGGGGTCAGCTCTCTGGCCATGGCTTTACTGCCGCGTGGTGGACAAATCGCTCTTCTTCAAATGGACGCCAGACTGCATCAAGATCATCTGGAAAGCATGATGGAGGCTGCGATGACAGCCTGCAAAGGTGTGAGCAAAGTACTGGACGAAGTCGTGCGGCAGCATTTGGAAGAAGCCTCAGCGCTCAGTAGAGACTGATTGTTTCAGTTGTCATTAAAAAGTGGACTTAATGCTGCTGCATCATTAATGTTTGTCATGCATCTGACCTATTTTTTATATATCAAAGAAGTATATTAAGGTTGTAAATTAAAGACCTCATGCATTCCTGTAATAAATGTGAACACACTTTGTTTAATATCGGCCCTCCACTTTGGTAACGTTTTTGGACTCCATATATTTACAGCTGTTAAAGAAGTCTTTAAGGAGAGGGGGGGTCTTATAAAGCATTTGGAGAAAAAAAACAAGTAATATAAATGGATAAGATGTGTTTTAAAAAAAATCCCTTGTTTCTGAGTGATATGTGTTGACTGATGACTGACACATACACTAGGTTTCCTCTGGTTCATATTTGTTAAAGGACAACTCACCCTCAAATCCACTTTTTTTTGCTGATAAACGGTATAAATGAGTGTCCAATAGTGTTGTCTACATATCCTGGTCATAATTTTGTCACTTTCTGCCTAAAACCGTCTGTGAGGCGCCATCTGCTGGCGACCTGTATTACTACATTTGAATTTTGAATCTGGCGCCAACACTGGCACAGAAGTTGGACCCATGGATGTATTATATTAACTGGATAGGGTATTACTAGCTTGTAGCTGAATAACTCACGTGCTCAGGGGATTCTCGCGGTACTGCAGACTGAACCAGACTAAATTCACGTGGGCTACCCAGAAATTTTCCCCATAGAACTCAATGCATATTAAAACAGCTCAACCTCAGCTGACAGAGAACCTACAGCTTTAATAAAGATCGGATTTTGTGGGGATTTTAGTGTCCCTTGTCATCCTGAACTTTTTTTCTTCTTAAATCCTTCGGTTTTGTTTAAATCCACACTTTAGTGCCACAAACTCTGCTCCTCTGGCTCTCGCTCTAACTCCCGCTCTGATGAACTGCTCTGATTGGTCAGAGCGCGGCCGAGACCCTCTGTGCACGTGCGTGAGACCCGGTGTGAGACCCACACACGTGTGTTTGGCGCAACGCATTATGGGAGATCATCCACTGCGCAGAACCGGGAGGACCAGACGATGCCCAAATACAGGCGAGTTTCCCATAGATCTTTGCGAGTTTCAGGCAACTTCCGCTAATCTTTCAGCCCCCATGCTGTCACAAAGCGCCACTGTGCACAACCATTCATTTGAATAGGGCGCCATCTTGGATCGCCGGGGCTTGGTTGGACCTGACGTCAGCAGCCCCCCGCCCAGAGCAATGTAAACGGCCCAGTCTCGTTCACGCCCCCTTTAGTCCTCCAGGCTACGCCCATTTAGAGGAAGATTTGAACAGGAAATGTGAGTAACGTAAGTTCCGAGGAGCGGGGGTGAGAACCACTTTAAAGTCAGAACAGACTAAAATATATATATTTTTTAAATGTACCCCGTTCAAGAAATTGTTTTCCTTGTTTGGTATCTACACACATCCCCTTTAACTCTCATACTCTGCTTTTGTTCTTTTAGACAAATAAAACATGTTAGTGCTTAAATTCTTTAGAGTCAGTTGTTATAGATCCATGGTTGTGTGTAATCATTTGTTTCCTGTCCGTCTGTCTCTTGTGTCCCCCTGAAACAAGGAAGTAGCGCAGTCGCGTTAGCTGCATCTGGCTCAGATTTCGGTATTTTACTACTGGATGTCATCCTCTGAGGGATAAATAGGTACTTGTTCTCATACATTGTTCATTACAAGTGTCAGTTTTACAGATATATTTGCATAACGATTTTATGGGCGTTTCAGTGTGTGATTGACACAAATGCCGGTAGTAGACATACCTCTTTATGAATGGGGCACAATGGCAATTAAACTAATGTTCCTTGCGACGCATCCAGTTCACTACATGCTTCATAAATGATAGGTCTGATAAGAGAAGTAGACACTGCCATTGCTAATTAGTTTCTTCTGAACTGTAGTTGCAGCATGGGGCTCCTGTCAGACCCGAACAGAAGAAGAGCTCTGATCACTCTGCTCACCCGCCTCAATGCTCCGATATGGTAGGTCCACATTAGGTACTAATAAAGAAGTATGTGCCCAAGCGTCTGCTAACTATGATCTCCCATTCACCTCAGTGTGGTCTGCTACATGGCGGGTGTGGCCTGGTTCATGGGTCTCGCCTTTGAGCCCTTCACTCTGCGAACCTACATGTCCGAGAACGCCATGGGTTCCACCATGGTGGAGGAGCGCTTCCCCGCGGGAGAGAGGGCTCTGGCCACGGGAAGGGAGTTTGGTGCACACAAGAAGAAATCTGGGTGAGCAATTTTACAGTTTTTACTAAAACTCACTTCTTTTGTCCCTTTCTACAGTTCCCAGAAAATTTAAAATCAGTTCAATGAAATAACCAGTCAGATGTACTGTAATAATTATAAAGCAATTGTAATATTAAGTGTTTATTGACACCCAAAAACCCTCACTTGACATTACTCATTCACTTCATACGCAATGGTGATTTATCGTGTAGCCACAGCTGCCCCCCATCCCCGCTCTCACAGAGACTCATACTTGGCAATGTGGGGGCTCACAACAGGTTAGAAATTGACAGTCGCTGCCATCCCACTGTAGCACATGGTGTTCCTTGAGGTCTCTCATCACAGTTATAACTAGACCCTGCCCTTCTTTGCCCTGCTTAGCTTCTGCTTTGTGCCAGGATCAGGCTTTCACATGCAGGTGGTGCCAAATAATGAGTGCTCCATGTGTTTGCAGTGGCATGCCGGTGGATTGGCTGGTAAAGACCATGCAATCTCGAGGTCTAGAAGTTTTCACACAACGATTTTCTCGCACCCTTCCTTTCCCGGATGAAAACAAGGAGAGATTTGTGAGTTTATTTTACTTCGTGTAACTTGATAACAAATACATTTCTGTGTTGATATTTAAGGTGATTTTAATTGTAGATGGTAAAAGGCACAAATGTGTATGGAATCCTCCGAGCCCCCAGAGCTCCACGGACAGAGGCCCTGGTGCTGAGTGCTCCGTGCAGTCCAGGGGATGGCAACAACCAGGCTGTGGGGCTGCTGCTGGGACTGGCACAGTACTTCAGAAGTAAGTCATGTCATTATGAACTATGAAGTATGTGTTATGAGAGTCTTTGTACATTGTAAGGTGCACGGTGTGATCTATATATTATTGACTGGTGACAGACCATCCATGGGAAAATGCTATATATGGCAATAATATCAGAATCAGAATTTGTTTAATTGCTAATGTAAGTAATAGGGAAAGTCACAAACTAGGAATTTCCTTTTGCTCAAGTGAACTTGACTATATTCAAGTTCACTAAGTACACATTTTTTTAAGCTGCCAGTTTTGTGATGAAAACGACAAACAACAACAAGCTGATTTACGTTTAATGTAATTCACTTTTACCCTTTGTGATCGTATTCATGCCAAATGTGACATGTACATATCTCCATTGTGAGATCAATTTAGTTTTATCTCGTAGAGTATTAGTATTAACAAACGGTTACATATGAGAGGTCTTAACTATAATATGTTTTTATGGATGGCTGTAATTCTCATTAACAGGTCAGATATATTGGGCTAAGGACATTATCTTCCTGGTGAATGAGCATGACTTGATTGGGATGCAGGCTTGGCTGGAGGGCTACCACCACACCAACACTACAGGTATTCCACTCTTTTACATTATTTACAATGTATTTTCCAGTCTCTTAAAAGATCAGCGCTAATTTTTTCCCCACAATTTGTTTCTTATAGGCATGGATTGGTCTCCTCTACACGGCCGCGGAGGTTCGATCCAAGCGTCTCTGTCTTTAGAACTGAGCAGTGATGTTGTGACTAGCTTGGACCTTGTATTAGAAGGGCTGAATGGGCAGCTTCCCAATCTGGATTTGGCTAATCTTTTCCATGCGTTTTGCCAGAAGATTGGTGTACTTTGCACCATTCAGGGAAAAGTAAGAAAGAAAACACAGTCAGCGCAGTATTGTCTGAGGCCCTGTATTAAAACAGTCTCTTTTATGTGTCCTTAGTTGCAAAGAAACGACTGGGACAGTGTTTCAGGCTATAGTCACGCCGTTCAGACCATGATGCTGATGGTGATGAAGCAGGCGAGCGGGCGGCCGTGGGGAGATCACGGCTTGTTCCTGCGCTACCACATCGAAGCGGCCACCATCAAGGGAGTCAACAGCTTCAGACAATACAAGACTGACGCTACCACTGTTGGCAGGTAGAAAGCAGAGAATACAACATCAGGCAGTTACAGGAAGATCTATCCAACTGTATCAGAGCCCGGGGTCTCCAACTTTCTTCTCAGAGAGCTACTTTTATACAACAGAAGAGGCAGAGAGCTACTCTTTTGTATTTGTAAAAAAAAAAAAGTCTGTATAATAACTATGACAAAACTTGGAGACGTATAACTAATATATATTAATTAAATATTTAAGTATGTAATTACTCAATAAATAATTACTCAATGTAATTATTCAGGATCACGTGTTGAACCTGGGAGCTACTGGTTGCTCCCAGGTTACAGAGAGACCCCTGATCTGCTTTATATGTGATAATATTTCATCAACCATTTGGTGAATCATTTTTGGAATTGAAATATACCTTTTAGGGGCATCTCACTTGGTTTTAGGCACTTTTTACCATCACAGTGCATCTTAAACATTTGGTAAACGCCTATGATAAAATTAAAAAATATTTGTGTTTATTAGTGGTCCTACATCATAGAAAAGAAAAAAATGTATTGTTTTCTTTAAGGAGTAAATGTTAAAAGGTAAAACGTGTTGACATTTCCTGCTGTGTCCCTCAGACTCCTTGAGGGTATGTACCGTAAGCTGAACAACCTCCTGGAGCGCCTTCACCAGTCCTACTTCTTCTACCTCATGCCTTCGCTCTCTCATTTCGTCTCCATTGGTTACTACATGCCTGCCTTCGGTCTGCTGGCCGCCATCCTGTTCTTGCGCGTATCCTTTGAACCCAGATTCATTCAATCTGTAAACGAGACTTGAACCACCCTTTACTCCAGCTGTAATAGTAAAAATAACTTTCCAGTTGTGCAAATTTCTGTCCACACAATAAGAGGTTAATCTGTATCAGGACAAAATGGAAAGTAGTGGCCCTCAAGCTTCATCCTTTTTTTGCTGAGAAGAGATTATCACTGCAAATGTACCATTTAAAAACCTTCTATCAAACATTGTAGTGTGAAATGAACCAGACATGGAGGTGATACTGAAAACCTCAGATACAAGCGACTTTTGGGAATGTTCGGTTTGGGCATTTAGACGCTTTTAAATTCACATTTCTGTTTCCAGTTCACGTCTCACTTTCTTTAATCATGAAATAGGCCTTAGACCTTTGGGTCCAACTCACGGCTCCTCCTCCTCCGCCTGAAGACGGCATCGCTCACGACAAACAAGTAACAGTCATTGCTTTGTGTTCCATAAACACACACTTTTTATGCATGAATATAAACTTCTTTTTTGTTTTGGATCTGTGCAGTCCAGTCCCGGGGTTCTGTCCGTGTTGACCCCTCTGGTGATCAGCCACATGACCGGAGCAGCCCTGTTTGTGCTTCCTGTCCGCTTCCAGGAGGTGGCAGTGGAACACTTCCCTGTGTCTGAGACGGAGGCTGTGGTGCTGACGGTCATCGCCATTTACACAGCTGGACTGGCTCTGCCACACAACACACACAGGTACAATATTATTATTTTCCAATCTAAGTTTACATACACTGTTGATAATTTTTGGAGAATAAATAAATGATATGATTGAACATTTCATTCAAACAAATTTGAGGTGTTATTTTGTTTTAAAAAGCTAAATAAAACCATCTACATTTCATCTAACAAACTGGCAACCTAAATATCAGCCTTATTCTGCTCTCTGATTGGATATAATCTGATTGAAAAGCATAAATATATTGTTGACTATGTCCATTGTATTCTTTAATTAAGAAAATTCTACTTAAATATGATGTGAACATGTTGACCTACTATCTGCGGACACAAATGAAAACGTTGATGTAATTCAAGAAAATATCACTCACACCTACTATCACTACTACCTTTCATAATAATAAAAAAATAAAAAAAATAAAATATCACTCACAGACGCTTTAATACTGTAGCTGGGCAGACCTTTCTTATCAGGTGTTTAAAAACCTGAAAACAGATTTGAAGGCATTAAGTAAGTAATGTAAAATTAAATCAGAATGAAATGACAAATAAAAATCTACTTTTCTTTCACCTTCCTCCCTTAACAGCTCTTTGATAAGGTGTGTATTGTAAACGTGCCTTGGATTTCAGAATGATAAATGTGCTGGTGGTTCTGCATGTTTATAACACGGAAAATTCAGAAGAAATGGGACAATATTCTGTTTCTTTACTTACCGCCTGCGTTGCTCCATTAACAGTATGGAATTCAGCTTTTTAACTAAAGACTAAAGTCAGTAAAGGCAGTATGAACTCTACAGCCAAATATAGTGGACACTTGGACAAGGAGCCTGTGGGTGTAGAGTGGCTTTGAAAATCTACTTTGGAGGATAAGCTCGTCGCAGTCCATGGGGTCCTTTAGAAGAAGTTTAATTTGACACATTCTTGACTTTCCCATTGTGAAAAGCAGACTCAGGATCAAACAACTATCCTCCATTTCCCATTTCAACACAGGTCAAAAAACATGCAGTATGTATTATTAGTGGTCTAAAAACAAACCAACTTTTGTCGCCAGAACCTTCCTGCTTGTGACTCATGAAGCTGCTATGCCCTGATGACTGACTCATTCCTTATGACGACTTACTTTTGCATCTGCATTCTTTTGAAGTAAATGTGTGGTGCAGTTTTTGTTTGTGAATCTTGTGAAGAGCCAAAGCTACCTTTCTGAGAGCTTAATTCTACTCTCTGATTAGATTATCTGCCTGGAACTATAATGGTACTGTCTATATACAGTCTAACACACTAGCTCTATGAGGCCCAATAGGGAAGTGCTAATATTGACTTCCATTGAACAGTCAACTCTATCTCAGTAAGATCAAACTCACCATTTTGGGCTTAGAAATCCATGGTTTAGCGCTCTCTCTGATCCTGGCTTTTTTGTTTTGTGGGAGGACCAATCAGATGGCTTCATTTGCAGGGGGAAACTCCAGCTTGCCTTAGCGGATATGATTTGTACACCCTAGGGTTAGGGTGTTATCTGGAAACACATATAGCAGATGCATAATGTGAAATGATAATATTAGACTACAAAAAGTTATGAAAATGTATCTTAACATGAGCACATTTTGACTGCCTTAAAGATTTCTCCATCGTTTTATTAAGATACAAGACATTTCTCCCTTGGAATGAGACAATAAATAGAACAGTACTTAAGACTTTATGGCATTGTCCTATTGGGAAATCTTGTTTTTAAAGAAAATCAGAATGTACTCTAAGATTGATTGATTTTAAGCATTTTAACCTCCATATTTGATCTTTTGCAGTGTACATACAATCCTTTAGTATAGAGTTATTGTTCACTTATCTTTTGCGGTGTGCTCCTCCTTCCTACTGCTGTGTAACTGGTGATGCAACACTGACATTTCCCCGCTGTGCCCATGCTGTGTCTCAGGCTGCTGTCAGGGGAGGGCACGGAGCAGGGCTGGAGGGTCCTGAAGCTGGTGGCCGTGCTGTACCTGGCCGTGCTGCTCGGGTGCACCGCGCTCATCAACTTCTCCCTGGGCTTCATCCTGGCGCTCACCCTGGTGCCCATCGCCGCCTTCGTCACGCCTCACGTCCCCAAGTAAGACCCTCCCCCTTTTAGTACGACTTTTTGATCGGCTTTTGGTTCAAGGGAGAAGCGGAGAATGCATTGAGTGACTTGTACCATGATTCCCTGCACTATGATTATAGATATATATTCAAATCCAATCCACTTTATATATATATATTATATGTAATATATATATATATATATATATAGCACATTTTATAAAAGACGTTTCCAAAGTGCTGCACAGATAAAAGTAACACATTAAAATATACAAGTCTGCTAGCTTCAAATAAAAAAAGTATAATAAAGCTTTTTTTTTTTACTATTAAAATAAAGCAACTATATACATAAATAAACATAAAACAAACACATACATAAAAACATAAAACAATAAAATAAATAAAATAATGGACTACACAACTCATGCGGTTTTAAAAGCCCAATGCACATGGATAGTGTGTATGTATTTTAGAATGTAGTTAATATCTGTTTGCACGCCTTGATATGACTAGTTAAAGCTGGAGTTGGAGTTACATTTTGTGAACACATCAGACCACAATCTTAGAGACATGTTTTACATAGAGAGGCAAGCACAGACGGACGGGGGAAGAAAGAAGCATAATCTCTGTTCTTTTACAATTATCATTAGTTTTAGGCATAATCAGATTAAGATTAAGAGATCCTTTATCCGTGCCACAGCGGGGAAATGTCAGTGTTGCATCACCAGTTACAGAACAGTAGGAATGAGGAGCACACAGCACAAGAGAAATGAACAATAACTCTAAAATAAAACATCTAGCTTTGGCATAATAAGAAGCAGGTATGTATAGTCATTTGTACCCAATAATTAGTTGACATTAATTTGTTTTTGTTCTGGTGCATTCCCTATATTTTCAAAAAAAATCTAAATGTGCAGCTTCTATAAAAGACGAGAGGAAATTGCCACACATACCAGGCCCAAGTGGAATCATACAAATTCAATTAGGCTCGGCCCGAACAAGTAATGTACAGTTGTGTGTTTACATCTGTACATTAGCAGCATTAGGGTCTGGGACAAAGTGACTCAAAGTGACAGTAACACATGTGCTTCTATATAGTATTGTGGTTCTATGTAAAATAATGACGATAATAAAAATAATAGCAGATTTTGACTCGTATCCTCATTAATTTTCTCTCAGGGTCCTCTCGGCCTTCATCCTGGTCCTCCTGAGCCCGGCCTGCACCCTGCTCTTCTCCGTCTTCTTCTTCCAGGAGCTGCAGGAGATGCCCGTGAGCTTCCAGGAGGGTTGGATGCTCTTCCTGTCCGTCATCTCCCAGGGGATTCTGGACCACTCCCTGTACGGCTCGCTGGTCTTCCCCCTGGTGGCGCTGCTGGTCTACCCCTGCTGGCTGCTTTTCTGGAACATCCTTTTCTGGAACTAGAGCCCTGGCTAGGAGTCTTGACTTTGGAGAGACTTTGTGTGGGATATGGAAAAGACCGGAAGGAGTTGATGTATGCTTTTGTTGAGGTGCATGAGACGGGTTACTTTTATTCCATCCATCCATCCATCTTCTTCCCCTTAATCCATTTCTGGGTCGGGGGGGACTTTTATTCCATGGCTCTATATTGTTTGATCGGGAGGATTTCTCATCAGGCGGTTTGTGAGAAAGATTTAGAGTCAAAAGTTGAAAAATATTCAAATGGAGTTGGGAAGTGGGTAGGACTTTTTGGTTCAGGAAGTAAAATTAGAAAGAGTTTGGTTATCAAACATTACAAACGACATAGTTAAGAAAATATTTACAATGGTGTTTTTTGGCTGAGATAGTAGATTCAAGATTTCAAGAATTAAAGAATTTATTTGCCATTTGCAGTAAAACCACATTGGAAAAACAGTGCAAGACGGCACACACTAGAGCTCTTGCCACGGTGCCATGCAAATAGCAGCTGTGGATAGTGCTTAGACCTGTCTTCAACTCTTGATATATATAATTATATAGGTTTTGATATATTATAAAATATGTGTGGAACCTTAGGCTCCGCCCACTTCTCAGCTCCAGATCCTCAATTTGATTTAGGGACTATTTTGGTAATGAAGTGCTCTGGCAGATGTTTGATGTTTTGTTTTGTTGTTCATACCTTAAAAGATGAACAGAACTGGCCTTTTTGATTACACACAAATTTTATACACAATTCATTCTGCAGTATTACATCTGAGTCATAAATCCTCTTCACAGTAGGTTTTAGTCTATGTATGGTTAAAAAAAACATTTTTTACCATATTCAACCAAGAAGTAACATTATAAACCAATCATTTACAAACCGGGGAAACATGTTATTCTTCAAATGATTGTGTTTTCGTGTACACTCGAGGTTTCTGGGAATGTAGTGACTTTGGGAGCCTTTAATAATGAATTTTGTAGCTTTTCTGATTGTTTTGTTTCTCTACAGATACATTTGTCTGGTGTTTTATTGCTTGATGATTGCAATGTACATTTAGTTTTGTTTACACCAGCAAAACTATAAATCTTTGGAGATAAACGGCCCCAGGACTCCCACTAGGAATGTTACATTGTACTTTTCTATTGTTGAAGTGTCATGTTTGCAGCCAAAATAATAGCTTTAATATGCTCTTTGTTTTTGGAGCCAAGTCAACATTTTTCAGTAGGAATCGTACTTTTTTGCTATTGGGTTATTTTGATGGTTAAATTACAAAATGATCCCAATCTTTTTGGAAGTCTGTTGTTTTTCTATGGTAAATTAAGATCTTTACGAAAACAAACTCTGACAGTGAGTGTGCACTTTCTCATTCTGCAACTATTTTTGTTTTGTAATGTTTTATTTTAATTGCACTGTTTTTGAGGGTTTGTGTTTGAGCCATGAAAGGATACTACTTGTTTTTATACAGTTGAAATAATAAAATCTTGTATTTATTGAAAACTGGAATTGGACCGTTTCTTTCGATCAGGACTATTCGATTTATAAAAGTAGCACATTTTTATTAAGCTTTTATTTATATACCGCCTTTTCACTGCACATCGGAGTCTCAAAGCGGTTTACAATTGTTATTTTTTTGGGAGTGGGGGTGCCAGTACAGGAGGCACATGCCATACCTATTGTACATATTTTTAGTGGTAGGGGAAACCGGAGCACCCGGAGGAAACCTACGCAGACACGGGGAGAACATGCAAACTCCACTCAGAAAGGCCCTGGTCCAACCGGGATTTGAACCCAGGACCTTCTTGCTGAGAGGCGAGAGTGCTATCCACTCAGCCACCGTGCTATTATATGATTTACTTTTCTTAAGTATTCATTTTTTACAGTACTTGGACAATTGATCTCACCTGTATACAAACTTTTTCGAAGTCATTCCTTATGTCGGAATATAAGATGCGCCAAAGCCAATACTTGTTAAACTTTTAAGGCACTGTTAATTTGTGATGATAAAGTATGCTCCACCTATTTTGACAATAAACAGCCTAATATTTCCACTAGTATTTGATGTAACTGAATTTCTCCATTATGATATCAATAAAGTATATCTCATAAAAAAGAAAAAAAGTTCAACCCCCGGGGACGCACACAAAAATACATTGACCACATTGCTTTATAGACTGCAGGGTTCAAAAACCTTGAAAAAAGTAGCTGCTTATCGTCCAGCAAGTCATAAGATGCTTTTCATTTCTATCATTTAACACAAAAAGAACACTCTAAAGCCCAGGACAGCTGTAGACGGCTTTGAATAACGTCTTGACTTTTATTAATATTATTTAAAAAAAAATAAAAACCTGATGTCTGAACGGTTTATCTTATCTTAATTACAAATGAAGTCACCAATCTGACCCTAAATCCATGGCCTTCCAGAAAATGATGTAGATGGACACAGACATCAACCAAGAATCATAGTTGAATTATGTTTATTCAGCTCATTTTGTACAGCATTATGTACTCAAGCAGATCCTTCCAGACAGAATCAAGTAAATTAGATGAACAGTGAAAATGTACATCCGTTGCACAATCTCCATATAAAATAATACACCTAATACATAATGTTAAAAAAATTAAAAGCACTTTACGTACCCTGTAAACACAACATACCGTACTCGTTTCAATATGGCACCATCTGCAGTAAGGACAGTTAGGTGCAAGGCTTGTTTCACTTCTCCCCCCTCATATTTCAGACGACACAATCACAAAATGTCCCACCAACGCTCCAGTTCCTTTAAAATAAATAAAAATCTGTTTCCTCTCTCCACAGCTCAAGCAATAAATGAAGGCGTTGCCAGATCCAGGGGTGGTGTCGTGTGATGTAGCTAATGCGCGCTGCGGGCTCCATGCTACAGTGTCCCACAGAGCGTCAGTGCACGTGTCGTTGCGAGTCTTACAGAGGCTGCGTTCACCGCCGTGCAAGAGAGCGGCCACTCCAGGGTCTGAAGAGTTCACAGAGTGGCATAAAACTCACTTCTGCAATTAACAAAACGCAATCTAATAAAACATCATCATATTCATGTTTGAGGACATACTGAAAACCAGGCCTATCCAAAAAAATGTTTTGATTACTTTTGGATTTATTTTTCCCCTGTGGCATTAAAAAGGTTATATTTCACTGTTCTGCTTTTGGGTCCCTCCTTGTTTGAATAGCGTCATCCAGCCAACTTCAGCTCCCCCAATAAGCTCATGCCATGCCTCGTCGTAAAGCTCAGACCCTTTGGAATTGCTATGACCATAATGTGGCTATAGCGGGAGTCTAAATTTTGCTGAAACAGTTTTACAATCCATGCTGTCGCGCCCTGGACAAGTCTGGCGAACTAAAGTGGCCCTCTTACTAAAAAGTTTGAACACCCCGGCTGTGAGTCCTCCAAGAAAAGTGATTCTGAAGGCGAGGAGTTGCAGAAGAGAAGTTGATCCAAAATAACATAACTAGGTCGAGTTAGAATTTCTGATGAATATGATCTTAACATCTCCCTCAAAAGCAAAACTACATTCCTGCTTCTTTGTAATAGGGGAAAAAAATAGAAGTAGATGTTAAAACAAATGTGTGCCGATTACCGTTTCTTTACTCGGCTCGGGCACAAATTGTTTTGATTCTTTACGAATTAAGCAGGTTGGCAAAAACAACTGCGAATTTAGCGTCGCATTATCAGCTACTACTAATCCAATTCTGACGGATTCAGAGAGCAAAAGCGGATTCCAAAAAACTCAGTGGCTTTAAAAAGGTCCTCATAACAAACTGGTTAGGTGTGAAGAGCACTTGTAACGGACGGTTTTTTAAGAGCAGCAGAACAGCTTGCACAGGTTGAACGCAGCCTTGTGAGTTTGAGTTAATCCAGCAGAGGTTGACATTCGGTGTCAGATTAATCAACATTCTATCAGACAGTCAGCTGCTGCCGGGACCAGGGTCTGCCCGCTCTTCTCGCCTTCCTTTATCCTGCACAGACAAAGCATGTGTGTTAATATGAATGTGAGCGGAGTCTGTTGTGGCTGGAGCAGTAGGAGGCACCTGCAGCGCGTGTGTGTCAGGACGAGCGGTGGCACAGATCTCGCAGCCGGGACGAGATGGTTTGTTTATGAACGTGCACAAGGGACAGGCCCACTCTGTTTGCTGAAAGAGTTCATGACACCTCAGTCATAATGTTGATTAAAGAAACAATTAATGTAGTAAATATCTCTAAAAGTGACTTACCTGTGTTTTAGTGGCTTTGTTGGTTTTGTCATTTATTTGGAGATTCTCAAAGTCGAGGATATCTTTAAGGTCAACTCCTGACCCTGAGCCTCCTGCAGAACAATGATACATCTTTGAAGCATAACGGTAAAAACAGTATGAGCGTGTCCACCACGATGGTTAAGGCCCGTGCAGTGAAAACACAATCCTTAACCATCTCTTTGCAGAAGTGAGACAAACGATTTATATGTGCTGGATTTTGGAAGTGACCTTGGTTGTTGTGCAGCCGGGTGGGTAGGGTGCTGTAGCCCCGGCGGTCCTGGGACATGGGGCCGTTTCCTGGAGGAGGAGGAGGGGCGAGGAGGGTGCTCTCCAGGTCCTGCTGGAACAGCTGCCTAGTGATGCGCGCCTGGCGGGCGGAGATCAGGTACAGGTATGCAGTGTCTCCGTCCTTCTGCACCCCATATGAGGCCAGGCTCCTGAGATCTGTGCACAGGCACTGACCAATCACCCAGCGCTGCACCCGCGGGTGAAAGCCATACTCTAGAAACACCTGTGGACACAAAGCAGTCAGTCGTCATCATGTACATGCGCTGATGTGCAACACAAAACAGTGACCTTGACCGACAATGTCCAGTTTTATTCACATAGCACTTCTCACAAAACTGAAGTCACTTTTGTGTACAATTTTGTGCATAATTCATTCATCCCACGTCCTGTGGTGGGAAGCTAACAGTGAAGTACAGCTGACTAAAGCCAGACTTTGAGGATTCATACTAGGAACACGTGTGAAGTGTCTTTCCAAAGGACATTTAGTACTAACCACAGCTGCTCAACCTTATATTACAGTTTTAGTTGCCGAGATTAGACTTAAATAAATAAATAACCTAAATGCATACATGTTGGCTAATACTTTTGACATATGAAATGCAACTAAAAGTTTGGTTTGAACTGACCTGTTGCTTTAGTGCTGCCACCGTCATGTAAGGAAACACTTTAACTGTCACACAACAAGACGACGAGACATCTTCTACTACAACCGATAAGCTGAAGAGGAAAACAACACATTCTTAATATTCTGAAAGCAGAAATCTTGCAACAGCTTAATCCCTGCCCTCTCACTTAATTTCCCCGTCTGTGTAGTTGTTTTGAGCTAGCTGGATGGTGAGCGCCGCTTTCTGCCGGGCCAGAGCTGAGGCGTGTTGTGCTGCCGCTTGCCCGTCACCGGCTTCTACGGCTTTGGCCAGCTCCAGGCACAACTCCTCTGTGGGACGAGAGCCAGCGGACCGTGAATGACAAAACAGAAGAGAAACAACACAACAACAAACGGAACCCACCGCAGCGAGGGAGCGAAGGAGCCGAGCTGAAGGCCTCTGCGGCTGTCTGCGTACCGTCCGATTCACATGGAATAATATTTGAAACTGGAACAAAAGCACAGATCGTCAGCAGTGTTAATAATACTGATTACTTTTTCAAATTTGACCAAGTTACACTCTTAAGAAAGAGATACATTACTTGGGATTTTTTTGGCTACTTTAATGCACTTAAAGCTCAAGGATCAAATGCTTTACCTTCTTACAGCCCATTTATGTATTTTCAAGATATTCAAACATAAGAAACATTCTTAGAACAAAAGTGGTACCTCTATGCGCCTCTCGGAGTGAGGACATGACCACAGTGGCCCACTCCTCTGCCTCACGGTCGCACCGGAAGTTGAAGCGGATGCAGTCGTGCGGTGGAGCGGCTAAACGCATCTCATGACACCGAGGAGACTTCACCTCATACTGCACGGAGCGCAGGTCAAACTCTGCAATGAACTGAGGGAATAGAAGAGAAAACTATGGCTCTTAAACTTCTCACTGTGTCCATGTCCTTAAGGTCTCTTTTCAGCATCAAAATAAATCGGTATAACCTATTGCCTTTAACTCAGCGTCAGAGAAGAATGGGCCAAAGGACATTTTTCCGTATAGGCTAAATAAATAATTATATTATTTATAAAATATTTTCCTTACATAATCATGTTTGAAAATGATATTGTTTTACTTCCTTCATGAGATCACAAAGAAATCCCTAAAGCTGTAGCTGATAGTCTATTCTCTGCACACGGTCCTCATCCTTACTGACTGAGGATGTCTCTCATAGCTTCAAAATCTGTCAAAGAATTCTCTCTGAAATTGTGAGATTTAACATTTTCATATTAAAGAATCTCAATCTGAAGACAATATTCAATTGATGACAACATTTCACTTGAAATTCTAATATCCTCTTATTTTAACTGTTAACACATTACTTGTAAATATTCTGCCTGACTCAGGCAGGTTATATTTCTTTTGTGTTTTTGAGAAATAAGAACTATGTGAAATACATTAATATTTACATGAACTACAGGTTAGAGGTAGTTCAGCAGTGATGCAGCATCATCGGGCCTACTGAAACATTTTAGTATCTTTATCATTAGAAAATCATACAAAATTGACACATTTTTGTTTGAACTACGCAAGTTCAAACTTAAGCTAAAGATTGTTTGTTGGAGCATTTTTAACAAATGAGTTTATTTAAATAAATATTAAATATTAAACTGACATAAGAAGATAATCAGATCCAGAACGTGTTTGATACTTGTTGACTGTGAGGTGCACAAATGTATGATGATGGCCACCTTAAAATGGCGAGATAGGCCGATAGCATTGATTGAGCTGCTTTCTTTCAGATGCCCCAGACCTGACACACGTTTGCCTGTAAAGACTGTAAAGACTGTTGTGTGAACAGTGAGGCTGGACTCACCACGCTGCGGCTGCCGCTCGTGTCTCTCAGCGCGAGGCGGAACTCTCCCGCGCAGCTCGGGTCCATGGAGAGCTGCAGGCGGAGAGCCTCGCTCCCTGCCCCGGGCAGGCACAGCGGCCGGATCCCGGAATGACACACTGAAACCCGCACGGACATGAGCACCGTGTTGCAGCAGGCTGCCGGTGCAGGGCCGCCGCACACAGCCTGCTGTGAGGCGGGTAGTGGGGCTGGAGGAGCCCATCCCGAGCTCAGAGCCATAGGTGCGGGAGAAGACTGGAGCACAAGCCCGCTGCTCAACACAGGCTGCTCCAGGGCTTCAGCTGGGGACCTGGGCACACACTACGGACTTCTTTCACTGAGACAGGGCCCATGTCTCCCAGGATCGAGCTTTTTAATACAACAGAGTCATGGCAGTGAACGGTCACGGAGCACAGAAAAGCAAAACAGGAAGTGCACCTTTGCGCCCTTTATTTTTGTCCGACGAGGACCCACCACTGAAAAACGATAGTACCGACACCTTTTCCATTTGCAAAGTAGTGCAAGGTGTAAAGTGCAGTAAAGTTATATAGTATGTACATAAAATAATATATAACACACGGTTCACAGTTTTGATACTGAGATCATCTCCTACTGTGGATCGAAAACATATGGACCTTCATTGCAAACAAATATTTGTAATTTACATGCTCACCTGCAAAGAATTAAATGTGTTTTACAGCACCATCTGCTGGTATAGTGCTAGAACAACCACATTACACTTAGGAATCTCTTTTGACACACGCTAAGCGGCCGAAGTGTGTCAAAAGTGATTCGTGTGTAAAACGAGAGCTTTAGGCTTTTTTCCCTTCTTCTCTTCGTACAACGAGGTTATTTACACACAGATTGTTCTGTTACAGATACAAATGTCAAATTACACACACACAAATCTGGGTACACCCGCAAACAGTCCAAGTTACTTACTGCGAAGGCAGGACTGCGTCAAAAGATCTGTGCGTAAAAAAAAGACTTGTGTCTAAAACGTACCATTTTTTACACACACACAAATCTTGTTACGCACATACAAATCTATTTACACACGCACAAATATTTTTTCTACACACACACAAATCTAGTCACGCACGCACAAATCTTTTTACGCACCCCACTGGTTCTAACTAATGGGCCAAAAAATGTGCTCTTCTGGAGCTATCCAAAATGGCTGTGAGTGGTCCCGCCCACTAGAAAATTGTGAAAAAACGCATCTGCGCATGCGTCAGCCGGCGTAAGCTCCATTCATTTGAACGAGAGAGTTTAAAAATTCACAGCGAGTAAACTAGAGTGGTCCAAAAGAATTCACCCCCCTCAGCATTGACACACATGTGGAACGGAGCTTTGGGCCAAGAGCCAACTTTTGGTCCATCCTGTAAAGACGTTTTCGAGAGGTCTGCCAATGCTATTTGTTAGCATTGGCTAATTCTTCTTTTGGGTCCACCCCCACAGGCCCGGGGTGGTATTGCAAGCATGTCAGCGCACGTCATTTTGGCCACTTTTGAGCCGAGACACCATAACTCTCAGACCATATAAATAATGACCATGTCTAACTGCTACAGACTTTGATTTCAACATTTGTATGTGTTTTTTTTTTTAATGAATACATGTTTTTCTTTTTTTATTTGCTTTTACAGTAAATGGTCTTTACTGTAACATACATAAATAATGTATGTTATAGCATTTGTCTTTTTGTATTTTTTATTACTAATAAGAATGCATTAAGTCCTTAACCAGCCAAAGAGTTCCACCTAAAAAAAAACTATTAAATTAAATGTTTGACTAAGGATTTGTTTGTTTTTAATATGTAGTCAATAAATTACATTCTAAAAACTGTGATTATGAAATTCCATAATTACTGTGTATTTTGAAAATAGGACTAAAAAGTGCTCAACCCGATCCACCCAAATGGTGTCCCTTATTTTTTTGTTCTCAAGTTGGCAACGCTAGATAGGGTTGGCCCTAACCATCACAGGTCCTGTTGCTTCACCGTGTGTAGTACAGGCTCCTTCACCAGTGCAGTTGGGTCGGTGGTAACGCCCTCTTCGCTCATGACATGGCCAAGGTAAGTCACTTTTCAATTCATCATGTCCCAAAGGAAATTTGTCTTGGACTCACAGGCTGCTACATAAAAAATACACTTAAGACAGACATTAATCACAACATAGTAACACAGACAGAAACCATCAGATGCACAGGAACGAGTTCTTAAACTGGTTGATCAAGCAAGAGAATGACACACGTTTATGTTTCACAATTGACTTTGATCCAAATTTCTCAGTCTTCAACACTGGCTTTTGGGGGCATGTACAAGTATTATGAGTATTTTTGCAGGACATTTTCACATTTGTTTTCCGCCTTGCAGTCCTCGTTTTGAACCTACAACAATTTCACTAAAGAGTCACACTGTGAGATATCTCATTTTGCCTTGACTTACAAAACATCTTCTCAACCCTCAAGTGCAGTTTTCTTGGTTTCAGTGTATTTATCTAATCACTCTGATGTTTTTACTTGTTTACTCATCCAGGCTGAAGATACTTAAGATAATATTATTTGTTTCAATAAAATAAAGATATTTAAAGTAATTTTAAGCAAATGTATCTTGGTAAATGTAAAAGTACCAACATAAATGCGATGATTCATCTGTCTGAAGCTCACACAATTACAATATTACCCCCTAAATATGAAAAACACAAATACAAATATTTATATAAGATTGAAAATATAAAATTATTACAAAAGATACACCTCCCAAAGGCGTTTTATTTTTCATGATTAACGTTTTTTTTCCGGACTATTTGTCACACCTGATTATAGGCCAAAGGCTCAAAGTTTTTGAAAGAAATTTACAAATGAATTTTGTACTTGTACAACTCTGTACAAGTTTGTCTATATAGATTACAGACAGGTAATCTGTATAGATTATACAAAATTGTCAAATGTACGTCTACGCAAGTACCTTTCTTTTGGAAAGTAAAAAGTACTTTTTACTTTTCTTTTGAGGCCGTACTCCGCTCACTTTCACATGAAGCTGCCGTCCGTTGATCATTAACAAACATTTTTAGGAATTTTTAACTAAACAAACAAATAAGTTACTTTCCCTTTTACTTACTTACTTTCTTCCTTATTAGCCTGGTGGCCTTCATTCTGACTTACAACATGTTTGCCCTCCAGGAGATCAGTCCTAGTGTGAGGTGCATCAAACCGCTGCAGTACACCGCTCTGGCCGTTCGAGCAAAGCAGATCACCCAAGAGCTCGCCCAGGTTTCTCCACATTCATACTTTTAATTTTATTATACATTGTACTGTACATACAAACCAGTGTTTATGTTTATGCAGGGAGTGCAAAAGCCTTACAGTGAGTTGATCCAATTGATATGGGGGGACCCTCAAAATGCTGGCATTCAGCCTCTTACATTTGTCCGACAGGTAAGTTCATTTCAATTTATTTATGTGTTGGCCTAAATCACAACAGCAGTCCCCTCGGAGGATTTTTACAAAATTTTCAATTCTCCAATAGCAGATTAGAGTAGTGTTTTCCAACCGGGGAAACCTGGACCCCTGGGAGTATGTGGTATTACTACCAACTTTTTCAAACTTGCATTTAGACTAATACGGACTACCATGTCATTCATGCTATTCTTTACATTTATCCCAGAATGCAACTCATAATAATAATAAGTGCTCTAGCTTAGATTTGTTTGAAGTTCAATAAAAGCAATCGTTTGGTCAACATACCTGTAAATGCAATGATGAAACACAGAATAATAAAACAAACACAAAGAGATCCTTTAATCGTCCCACACTGGGGAAATTTCAGTGTTGCATCACAAGTTACAGACCTGAGCACAAAGCACAAGATAAATGAATAATAACTGTATACTAAAATAAAAGGAGGAGTATGTAAAAATCTGGCCAAAAGTGGTAATGCAACCTCTCCCACTCTCCCTGACTCAGGTTGCCAGATATGCAGGCAAATCCAGCTGGGACCATAAAATCTGAATAGAGTTTTTTCACCAACAAATCTTTGACAAACACCATTTTCACAAAGACATCCCCGCTAAAAATCCTAGTTTTATTCCATGTTTTGTCATTAGACTCAGATTTAGACAGACTATATTGATCCACAAGGGAAATTGCGTTGTCTCATGAGCTTGCATAGTATTTCACTATAGAAAATAAAAAAATAACATTAAAGTAACAATCTGAAAATAAGACTAATAAAAAGATTATATTTGCGAGAATAGAATAATCTGGATGTAGGTCAGGAATATACATATCTGTGAATATGTACACATTTACAGTGTAGAATATGATTTGAGAATAATAACAAGAAATGTTTTAGTTCTGCGGCCACTTTTTTTTTTAACCAGTGAGATTAGCTCGACGCGGTGAGTTCTGGCAATCACAGACTTTCTGATTGGTGAATTGGTGAAGGGCGGGACATCGAAATGAAAACAAAAACAAGATTTAGAAGCTTAAAAAACTAATTTTGAAATTCGAATATCTCGGCTGAACTACTGTTATTAGTTCAAGAAGTGAAGTTATTAATGCAGTTTGACAGATTAGGGCCATTTAATGATGACTTGACAACTTTAGGAACAAGGAGCAAGTATAAAATGCTGTATATTATAGTGCAAGTAATACATATATAGTTGTGTGTTTACATCTGCACATGTTAGCAAAGTGACAGTATCACATGTGGTTCTACATTGTACATTCTGACATTATTAAAGTTATTAGTGTTCATAAATGTCCTGGTTCATCATTGTCCTTAGACCCTCAAATAATGTCTGTTCTTATCCTATTCGGGTAAAACTTATTCATTATGTTGTAGGTGCTGGCTGCTTGTCTGTACCCTCAGCTCTTGAACAACGACGGTCTCCCTGCTGATGTGAGACAAAGAGCTCAAGGACTGCTGGAGGAGTGTAAAGGAGGCAGTCTGGGTAAGTTCATAGTTGAGGTCGCAGAGACTGGAGAATCTAGGTCTAGGACGTCTCTCTATCCACGACGTAAAAGAAAAATATATACAGTATAAACCTGTGACTCGCCCCGGATCATGGGTCGTGTTTTGTTCCACGTGTCATAAATTGTTTTGAAAAATCACCTTTTATTGATCTTTTTATTTGTAAACTTAAATAATTGACTAAAAGATTTAGAATTGTCCTACAGGGATTAATAAAGTGCACCTTTACCTTTACCTTTAAACCAGTCTATTTACTTCTGAAATTCAACTTACAGTATGACACTAATATGTGACGAACTCAATACACAGAAAGATCAAGCCTTCATTTTTTCTGAGGTTTATAATTGGTTCACAGCTTGTAAAAACCCAAAAAACACAACATTTTGAAATGGACTGTAAGCAGCAATTATCAAAATAACATGCAATAAGTTTGTATCACATTTTAAGGACTATATGGCATAGTAAATGAAGGATTATAGACATAAATACACTTTTAGAGTATAATTGATTGTAGTTTTGCTTGTATAATATAATGTATAATCCAACAGTGTGTAATGGTTCACTCATGTGTTTTTCCTCTGCAGGGTCATACACAGACTTGCCTGGAATCCCACAAGTGGCTCGGCAGATTTCAGAGTTCATTACCAGACGAGACGAAGGCGTTCCCTCTGACCCTAGAAACATCCTCATCTCTCCAGGCTCTCAGTGGGCCCTGCAGGTTAAACATACACTGAACATACGCTTCTGTATCCGAGCAAGTTGTGCTGCTGAATATACAGTGGGGCAAAAAAGTATTTAGTCAGCCACCATTTGAGCATTTTATCCCACTTAAAAAGATGTGGGAGGAGACAAAATGAAAAGAAAAAAATCCACAAAATAACATTGTCTGATCTTTAAAGAATTTTTTTGCGGATTATGGTTGATAATAGGTATTTGGTTACCTACAAACAAGCAGAAATTCTGGCTCCTCTGTCCTCCACTTGTTATGGACTGTCTGAAATCATTATCACTATAAAAGACACCTGTCACTACAACCTCCAGCAGTCCACACTCCAAACTCCACCATGGCCAAGACCAAAGAGCTGACACCAGAAAAAAAAATTGTAGACCTGCACCAGGCTGTGAAGACGGATTCTGCAGTAGGTAAGCAGGGTGGTGTGAAGAAATCAACTGTGGGATTAATTATCAGAAAATGGAAGACATACACAAACACTGATAATCTCCCTCGATCTGGGGCTCCACACAAGATCTCACCCTGTGGGGTAAAACGATCACAAAAGCGGTGAGGTAAAATCCCAGAACAAACGGGTGGGACCTAGTCAATAACATGCAGAGAGCTGGGACCAAACACACTACACCGCCAAGGAATCAAATCTTGAAGTGCCAGACGTGTCCCCTGTTTAAGCTTTACATGTCCAGACCCGTCTGAAGTTTGCTAGAGAGCATTTGGATGATCCAGAAGAGGATTGGGAGAATGTCATATGGTCAGATGAAACCAAAATAGAACTTTTTGCATCCAAAGAACACCATATCTACTGGGGCTGTTTTTCGGCAAAGGGACCAGGACGACTGATCTGTGTAAAGGAAAGAATTAATGGGGCCATGTATTGTGAGATTTTGAATGAAAACCTCCTTCTAAAGTTCTATATTGTGATTTCATGTTTTAAATTGTGATCTTCTAGAACATTCTGAGCCTGCTGGTGCATGGGGGTGAGAGGGCGGGCCGCTCAGGGGTCCTGACCCCAGTGCCGGGCCACTGCACGTCCATCATGTCTCTGGTGAGCGTGGGCGGCGTGTCGGTGCCGTACCAGCTGAGTGAGGAGCAGGGCTGGCAGCTGCGGCTGGAGGAGCTCAATCGCGCCCTGGACGCAGCAAAACAAGTGTGTCGTCCTGTGGCTCTGTACATCATCAACCCTGGAAATCCATCCGGTAACTTCTCGTCCAAATCATTCACCAGACTCTGTGCGGAACTCACGGTTTTATTTTAATGAGATAAATTATGAAACATCTACTTTTTTTGAGCTTCCATTCATGTTACAAGTTGTTCCCTCATTAAAAACAGACCTGTCATTGTTTTCGAATGCTTTAAAAGTGTTGAATTTAATTTAGTATTTAGTATATAACATGTAGCCTTTATAAATTTTGTTCTAACAAAGTTTTGCAAAAATTCTAAAATAATGTCAAGTATCCCCCATAGTCCTTAAAAGACAAAAAATACAAGTGAAACTCTGAATATTGCTCAAAAGTGCATTCACTTCTGTATTTCAACGTACAATTTCTTAACAATTATATGACAAACTCTTTACACATGAAGTGAGAGATATCAAGCTTTTATTTGTTATACTGTTGATAACTGCGGCTAACACAAACACAAATAAAACATATTGGTTTGACAACTACAACGACAGAAATACATGAACTTTTGAACAACATTCTCGCTTTCTTTTGAGTTTCTTTTGGAGTAAGAAATAGCGATATATTTCCGCAGCACCACGTCATGAAGGCTTTATGTTCACACAGGTCACGTTCAAAGTCGAGAATCTATCCAAGACGTGATTCGGTTTGCGTCGGAGAACCGGCTCTTCCTATTGGCCGATGAGGTCTGTCCAACTGCACAAAATCTCAGTTTGTAAAGTGTGTGTGTGAAGCTTTTTATTCTCTTCGCAGGTTTATCAGGACACCATCTACACCGAGAGTAAAAGATTTCTGTCGTATAAGAGGGTTCTGGCCGAGATGGGACCTCCTTTCTCTGACACCGTGGAGCTTGCGTCGTTTCACTCGGCGTCCAAAGGCCTCTTGGGAGAGTATGTATTCTGTCAACTGGATTATGGTACATATTTTCTCATACTTAAGCAGTGGGCATGAAAACGTACGTAAAATAGAATAGTACAGTACAAATACAAAATAGAATCATGTGTATGCACCGCTACAAATACTATGTGTTTTTAGATTTTGCTTAGTTCATTTAAAATCCTTTTTTTGAGCTTTTTTTTAACTTTTAAGTTTTTCTTCATCATAAACAGACCAGGAGTTTTTTTGAATATTACTGTGAATATCGAGTGTCCTAGATCATAACCATTGTCCTTTTAGTCAAAATGAAATGAATGTTCACTTTAGGTTTGAAGCAGTTGGGGACATATCAACATGACAACAGTGCAAAACTTAATACACTTAAGTTTTTCTCTGCAAGGATTGTGTCCACATTCTTTTATGATGTACTGGGATAATTTATGATTTTGAGAACTGTGCTATACAAATAAATTTCCCATCCATCCCTCCATTTTCTTCCCCTTAATCCATTTCTGGGTCGGGGGGTGGCAGTCAGAGCTGCACCCAGTACACATCACCAGCCCCTCACTGATCCTCTGCAGGTGGTGAGTCCACAGGGGCCTTGATCTTTCAGCGGGGGCTTCAAAATAAATATATTTCCCTTTCCTATTTAATATGTGAAATCTTGCTGGTCCTGTCCCCTTGCAGGTGTGGTTTTCGTGCGGGTTATGTGGAGCTGGTGAACATTGACCCAGCAGTTAAGAAACACATATACACCATTTTCTCCAAAGACAATGCTCCCACTCCAGGTCAGATCGCTCTGAGCGTCATGGCCAGTCCTCCTGTCACAGGAGAGGCCTCTTACGACTTCTACAGAGAGGTGAGTGTGTGCAGGGCAAATCAAGACATTATATTAAGACATTTTACTGAAATAGTACAATGAAACAGAATACTTATTATGGTACCCAACATGGTAATATTCTAACTTCCAATACAAACGACCCACAGTCCCACAGTGGGGAAATTTCAGATGTTGATAGGGAAATTAACAAGAACAGTGGCATTTTTGTTTGGCCCCATTCAATTTAATTCCAACTTCAAGTGAAGGTCAGATACTTTTCCATTTTTTTAAGATGAACATTTCGAATGTAAGTGCCAGATAAACAGCCCAGGCACCTCCCCATTGGTCAAACAATTCTCCTCCAGCCGTAGTACTGGTGAGGGTTATGCCAGAGAGGGACAGCTTTAAATTAAACATTCATGAAAAATACTTAATACTACAGCGTCAAATGGTCAAAAACATGTATGTATTGCTAATTGCTATAAAAATGAAATACAAATTGAGGTTGCAGATTTCACCTTTAAAGCTGGGGCACCTAACCTTTTGTTTCAGAAATAGTTTATTCCAATAGAAAGTCTTTTAGAAGTAAAATGTCGTCTTCAGCTGATTAAAAAACATGTTACCTTTACTTTACTAAGAGCCCTTTGAGTAATTATTTGATGAGTCAGGCTGAGAGATTATTGGCTTAGTTTGTCCCATTTTCGATTTTTTTTCTGAAAGATATTTATCATAAAATGTGTCAAATACTCGCATATGAAAACCAGAGATAGCTCCATGTTGTGTGGTTTGAAAGTTACTTGAACCAGTTTTAATGATTTGAAATACCAAGGGTGTGTGATTACCTTGCTTGAACTATGGACCAGCTGGAGACTAAATTATGGGTTTCTTTGTGTAGGAGACTCAGCAACTGCATTCTTTAATCAAAGAGAACGTCAGAAGAGTGCATGAGGTGTTGAACAGTCTGCCTGGTGTCTGCAGTCAGCCAGTAGAAGGAGGAGCTTTTGCATTTCCCAGACTATACCTCCCGCCCAAAGCCATTGACAAAGCAAAGGTGAGTTCTAGTTTAGAGATGGGACAGGGATTATTGTAAATATATAGAATTCATTACTTGTTTGTCATGTCCCGTCACTCCAGATTATTAGCAAAAGAGATAGAGGTATATGGACACACATGTAAGTAAAACTCAGGGATTAGAATATTGTTCAAGAGTCCATTTATTTCTATAATTACATTAACAACTATTATAATATAAAATTTCATGCAAATGGGATCAATTGAGCCTTTATTTGGTATAATGTTGATTATCTCTTCAGTAAAACCCCCAAAAACACCTCAGAAAATGTAAATATTTTACAACTAATCTTAGGCCATAATCATCAAAACTAAAACTTGGCATATGTCACTTAACATGTAATGAGTCTTAATCATGGTTTAGTTTAAAATGTTAAGCTTAATTACAGAAAATAAAACATGGTCTATTCATTACAGTCTTTGTCAATGCTTAATAGATATTATTTGTGGCGTAATAGACTTATGCCACCAAAACCTCCTTTCCTTTGCAGGTTGTAAGCCCATGGCCTTTCAATATCCTCATAAATCCATTCTCATATTTCGATGAGTGTCTCCCATCCCTGGTGCATTAGATTCCCACACAACCCTTACATGCATGCTTACCAAAAATACATCAAACTGTATAGACTGTAACATGGAAGTACGGGTGAAAGTCCATTACTAATACACAATAGGCTCTTTAAATAAAACATCTCTGAATATTAGAATATTTTGACAACTATTCTCAAAAGTGGCTTGACACGTGTCACTTTGAATGTGTTGAATCGAATATTGGTTTCACATTTAAGTTGAGTTTTTAAGTTGAATTTGTAATTTTCCGAGTTTCACCTGTGTACTGTAAAACTAGGAGCTGGGATTGGAGCCGGATACGTTCTACTGCCTCAGGCTTCTGGAAACCGCTGGAGTGTTTGTTTCTCCTGGGTGTGAATACGAACAGAAGGATGGAACTTACCACATACGGTATGCTGCAAATAATACATTATGGAATGTACATTAAATAAATCTGTTCAAATTTGGCAAAATGTATCTTATTTTGAGCACATTTTATCATTTTTTTGCAGTTTACTCAATTAATTAGCAACAATAAATTACATAATAAACTTCCTTCACAGATTCTGCATCATGGCCAAAAGGGACACAGTAGAAGACCTTCTCACGCGCTTGGCCACCTTCCAGACGCAATTTATGAACAAGTTTTCTTGAATGTTTTATTTACAACCATTGATTGCATATTCTTTTTTTTACATTTAGATCAATGTAAAGAATAAATACATGTGATATAATAAAAGAACATTCCACTGACTTTCACATAATTTGCACAGTTCAAGTCCATTGTCTGCTTACTGTGAAGCAAAGATTAAACCCAATCCAAAGAAATGGATTATATTTTACAAGTGGAAAAAGGTAAAGGCTAAACAGAATAAGTTACTATTTAGAAGAAGCGTGTGCGTTTCAGTCCACCTCACTGTCACTGTTTTGAGAGTAAGGATTGGAGTCCGTGTTGTTGAGGAGTTCCACGAGCAGAGACAGCAGTTTGCCGTCCTGTGTGGAGTTGCTGGTGAGATTCCCGGGATCCTTGAGGTTTCTGTACAACATGGTGTGAACCGACGTGCGCAGTTCCCAGAGCAGCTCCCAGCTCTCGGCCGCCATCTCGCAGCGCACCAGAGGGTTTCCCGGGAACAGCACCTGCACCCGCCCTCCGCTCACTGCCACAGAACAATCAGGAGTCAGAAAGTAGAAATAGATGAAGGAGGTTTACAATCAACAACAACTTATTCTTGTATAGCCCTAAATTATGACAGAAGTCATCTCAGAGGACATAAGAAAACCAGTCCCCACAAATGAAAACCACCAGATGTGAGAGTAGCTTTTTTATCCTGGAAGCTATGGTTTTTAATGAAAGTTTTAAATTGACACTTAAAAACCAACCAGAGTAAAAAAAAAAACAATCGCCAAATTGACACCCAATCAGAGAAAAACTAATCATTAGCACCCGGCTTCTAAACAAACATATGCCATTTTCCAAATTCTATTATATGTATTTGCAGATTCAAAAACCTTAATTTTAGTCGGAAAATTGGTACAATTATGAAAGACATGCGACAATAGGAATACAGGGTTTGGGGGCGATTTCTTAAAAAAATATGAACCTTCCTACATTGTACTGCATTTCAGAACATAAAAAAAGAGAAAAAGTAATACAATATTTAATAAAATTCCTAATTGTAATTGTTTCTAAGATTGTTTTTTTTTTTTTAAAAGGTTGTGGAGCAAAATACAGTCTTCAATAGAATAAATGGCAGAATATAATCCTCATTTTAAGTCTTGGAGGAAGTCCTCATTTATATTTAAAGCTTTTAAGGGATTGAATTTGGCTCCAAAAAAATGTAATTCTGAATGAGAATTAGTATCAGGCGACACCATCATAGTCAAGTCAATATTAGAAGAAACCATAGAAATAATAGCTGTATGTCACGCTGTATGTTAGGGGGATAAAAACCAAGCCACTCAGGCTCATTGAAATGCAAAATGCAATGAGCCTGACCTCTCTCGTTGATGTCACAGTCTGTGAGCAGCAGCAGAGCCAGCGGATGCACGGCTGAAGAGTCTCTGATGAAAACTTGACCACTGGACTTGACTGCGCTGAAGAACGTGAGCCAGCGACAGGGAAGGTCCTTTCCTCTAAAATGAAAAAAACAGAAACATGTCCAATAAACAGACTGCCAAAGAGTACACTTCCTGCTTATATGATCATCCGTCATCCGTCGTTTATTTGCTCAGGACAGATTCAACACAGATAATGACAGGTGTGATGCAGGTGGCGGTCAAACCTGTTGACTGTAGAGCGGTGAAGCAGCACGGGGCCTGTTGTGGTCCTGAAAGCCAAAGTGTTCGGGCGAAAGCGTCCGCCTTTGGTTACTAAACCCTTTTTCACCTGCAAGAAAAAACATTTATATTGACATTATTACACAACTTAATGAAAGCATTGTTTATGACTAAACTACACAGCTCTGACAGAATAAATAGGAATTCACTCGCAAAAAACTGTTATCAGTGGCTCGTTGTAGATTATGTTTACAGCGACGGCCACAAATAAAAACAGATATTTTCAATAAAGATCTGTTTTTAAAACATCCAGAGGCAGCGCTGGTGCCACCTGATGGCTCGATAAAATATTCTCTAAAGCTAATCCCCATACATATTAGATATAATAGACATCTAGGAACATGAAAATAGTGAAAAACGTGTTTGGCGCATTAATGGCGCATTTAATTAAGTGTATTTATATGAGAAAATGAGAAAAAAAAGACCAAAGTCACCCAAAACGCTTTAAAATGTTTGAGTTTTTCCCGTTCACTCCACACAAGGTGATGATTGAAGCGAGATGCTGAACAAAGACCTATTGAATTTAATATCAACATAGTTTTCTAGTTGCTTTTGTCATTTAGCATGGAATTAAAGATGGTCAGATAGTTTATTAACACTTTTCTGAGTCGACCATTTACCAGTGATGTCTGCTTGTCTGCTTGTCAATACAGCCCTATTGTCTACATTCTATCACATGAAATGGCAAATTAATACTGCCAAGACCATGGTAAAGGGCCAAACTGGATACCTGGATGAGGTTTGGGTAGAGTCCTGCCAGTAGAACCGCCTTCAGCAGCTCGTCCTCGCCGCTGTGCTCGTTGTAGACGGAGCTTTGTCGCTGGCACTCAGTCGAACGAGACACCAACTTTGCTTCGGTCAGATTGTCACTGAACTGAGAAATGAGCCCTGTGTGCCAGGAAAGACGCATTATGTTTTAGTGATGCTTTGGAGGAAGGCGGAGACATTTAGGACATACCGTTGATGTAGCGCAGACTGGTCCGGGACAGAGTGTACCGGTCCAGAAACTCGTCCCTCTCCTCTCGATCGCCTTCTCTCTGCAGCCTCCTCCAGCCCGACACTGCTTCACTTAACACCAAGTAGTCACTGTGATTGGACTGGGTCAGCGCCTCCTTAGCCTGCACGTTAGTTATCATATTATCGTTTTCAAAAAGGTACAAGAGACACATACACTGCAAAAAACTATGAAATTTGATGTAATATGTAACACTGGTGTCAAAAGCCCACCTGTTTGACTTGGCATATGCTCTTGGGCCATTGTTACTCTTTGGCTGCTGTGGTAGCGAGTGGTCATGTGACCGCAGCCACCCAATCAGTGTTGTTTATATGCGTGAACCTGGAAGCGGCGCATACGCGAGGGGAAGCCGTGTTTGTTTGCTGCAGAGGTGTGTTTCATGCATTTTTCTCGTGACTATTACCTGTATGACTTTGGAAATTAAATGCCACTTGCTTGTTTCACTGTAGAGCCGATCACCAGCGCCGGATCGTTCTCCGATTGAGCCTTGCGTGTTTTAGAAAGTGGAGTCGGTAAGTCAATGCATTTAGTGCTTGCCGCTCCTCATTCAATTGCCTCCGTGTATCCATGACGTAAATTAATGAATCATGATGAGCAATGCTTATGTTTAATAACCGAATGTTTGTTTGAATTATTATATATGCACATGGCGTTTTTTAGTCAGCATTATAATAATATGGTCTGCTTAAATACATATCATAAATAGCATAGCAGTTTCACTAAAGTTACTCACTTTGGGAATAGCTATGTACTTTTGAGTGTTGGTATTATGCTTCTGTGTGTTTTTATATACATGTTGAATTGTATATGCTGCTAATATTTTCTACTCTAGCACTCTAGTATTTTGATACATTGATATGACTAGTCTTTATGAATTATATTGTGCAATATTGATACTTTATTTAGAGAGATATCTCAGGTCTTTATAATACAGTAAGTGTTATTTATTTAGAATGAACAAGTTGTGTACACATGAATTGATTTAGATGGTACTGCTGTTTTTACACAGGCCACATTTGAATGATGGCGAGCTAAGGAACAGGCTTTTAGCCTAGAGAAACGACTCACCGGGAGATTCCTTCGAGGACCCCACCTACTGCTCTGTCCGGGCTGGTAGGAGGCTCTCGCAGCCACCCCTCACACTCGATTGCACTACTCGCACTTTATTCTACGGCCTTCAACCAATCGTATTCATTCCCTTCCATCCACATCCTTCCTCTGGATTATCTTCAAAACTTTTGGGCCGTATAAACTTTGCCACTACATCTGTGCGAACGAACTGAGCCGTGCTCTCACAATCAAAGGGCCGTGTCCCTATATGAACTGAACTATTTATTCATTCAATCTGTGCGGTTGAATTGTCTTGAACTACTGTTAAATATTGATTTCTATCGTTACACTGTATATAACACCTGGGATTTATTATTGTATATTTGCACTGAATGGCCATTCATTTTAACACTTGTCTACATGTTTTGTCTGTCTTGTCCATACACATTAATGTAAATACAAACCAGCTATCTAAACGCAAATATCCAGTCTCTGCCTCTCTCTCTGCGAGTCGCACCCAGTCTTCTGAGATCTAGCCTAACAACTACCTTAAATATATATATAGTACAGTACAATACCTGCTACAAATAACTGCTTGAAGAGTGTTTTTTATAATAATTTGTGCCATCTTGTGTGAAGGCAGTCAAAAAGTGCTCAAATGTCACCAAATTTGAGACTAATTTTTAATCACTTTTTTCAGTGTATATACGATATTCGGAATCTATAAATATATGTTTTGATTCTGTTTTTGCTGTGATGAATCCATAAGACAGCGGTTTCTGACCTTTTAAAACAGAATTATTTCCTCCAATCAAGTATGTCTGGTGAAATGACAATCTTTACAACAGCGTGCCTTAAATTAAACATGTTAGACGTTTACTAAACTAGTAGGCTATAAAGTCCGACTTCTAACACACAATGGAGGAGTTTCCCTACTACAGTGGTTCCCAAAGTGGGGGTCCCGACCCCCGGGGGGGTCGCGGGAACCCCTGGGGGGGGGGGGGGGTTGCAAGATGATTATCAAAAAAAAAAAAAAAAAAAAAAAAATTAGCTAATAGCCCTTAAATATTGATTTAGCATTTGATTTGATTCAAAAAGACTACTTGTTAAATTGTGTTAGGAGAATATAAAATATTTAAATTACGTTTGTAATTTTGTCCAGTCATTGACAGCGTCAATCAAAATCAAGTTACGCAGCTTACGTCACGCAGCGACAAAGCGTGTCCAGCTGTTGTTTGCTAAAACTAAAGGTGTTTGGAGGCTTCAAACAAATAATACCTGCTTTAAAAGGAAACGTGGTTAATATCCACAACAGAAAAACCCGGAGGGAGAGAAAAGTCACATGTGAGGTCAGGCTGATGGTGCGAAGAGAGGGAGAGAGGGCAGCGGTAGAACAGCGCGGTAAAGAGGCCCGGCTTTTCGGAGTCAGTGGTAAAGAGGTCCGCACATTAAAAGTGGGTGGCTGCTTTATGCTGTTACTTACAGTAACTTTGGAAAAAGAAGCCGCGGGGATGAAGCACATAAAGTAATAGCAGAAAGCGGCCGCCCGCTTTTTATGTGCGGACCTCTTTACCGCTGACTCCGAAAAGCCGGGCCACTTTACCGCGGTATGAGAACAGAGAGCGCGAGCCGCAAGAAATGCGCTCCACTTCTGCTAAGAAGGGAGCCCACCAAGCCCATCACTGTGTCACTACGTGAGTAAAAATATGCAAGCCTCCTTTTTTGGGCTGGACAGTGCAGCTCGGTAGTGGCGCGAGTCTCTGCGTTACTCCGTATCAAGGAAATACATGCTCATTGACGGGAAGGACTGTTGAGGTGGGGGGTCGCGGGGGAGCAGCGCATTTATGATGGGGGTCGCGGGCTAAAAACTTTGGGAACCCCTGCCCTACTACATTTATACATTTGTTCACATTCTGAAAAATTAATGATTGTGACTCATCTTGCAACCCTATTAGATGTATTTGTGTTAGTTGAGTTGTAAAAACCTTGGTGACGAAGGCCCGGTTCTGTAGGCTGTTGTAGAAAGGGTCCCTGGTGAGACAAGCAGCCACAGACAGCAGAGGGAGGACGCATCGGAACAACGCGCCCAGAATCAGAACTTTGCCCAAGCGCGGGTCACATGACATGTACGCCACACGCTCCCCCAGAGGCGTCAGGGCTTCTGTTTTGTCCAGTACTCCTGCAGAAGATCAACATTAGAGAGAAGTTAGCATCACATACATGCACGCTACATATGGACGCAGTTAAATGAAAGAAGAAATTAATATTATGTTTTAATCTAGTGTTTCTATGTGCATACAATCAACTCTGAATGTGGTGGTCATTTTTCCGATTGTATAATGGATGCAAAAGTTAAAGCTAGGGTACCCATAAATACATTTCATAAGAGAGGGTCTTGTGAACAAAATCAGACCTCAACATGCAGTCTTTGTGCTATCAGGAAACATCTTCTGCATACGTGTTAGCAAGAGCCATGCAAGTCACTAGTTGACACTTTGGGCTGAGAGCTGATTGGCCACGTCTGAAAAAGCTGATATAAAGATGTGGCAATGGAGACTGAACTATTGATAGTTTTCACATGCTGTGAAGAATTGTACAGATACAATAGTAGTGTAGTAATATATCTATAGCCGATAACATTCTCACCAATGTCTTGTAGACTCTGAACAGCATCTCTCACTGCCTGCTTATCAGGACTGTCAAGAACTTGTGCTAAAAAGTCTATAGCCTGCAAGATATTAACATTCAAGTTCATTATACAGACATATACTTTAATACTTTAAATGTGTTGATGGCAAGTACCTTGATACTAGGACTGTGAATTTTGGCTTGCAGGACTAAATTCTCTAACGGCGTGCGAAGAATCTCAGGAATGGGAAAGGGTGTCAGAGATTTCAGTTGCTTCTGTGAAAACAAGTGGTAGGAGTGTCCCGGCTGACAGCGACCGGCTCTGCCCTTCCTCTGGGTGACGTTTGATCGGGAAATCCACACTGTGTCCAGACAAGAAACCTAGGAAAAACAAAAACACTTATTCAAAGCAAAAAAGAAGAACATACATCTTTCCATTTGTATTCACTACCTTGGTTCTTGGGTCGTAATTCTGCTCTTTGTGCATCCCAGTGTCCACCACATGCACGATGTCGTCTATCGTGATGGACGTCTCCGCGATGTTTGTAGTTAGGACTATTTTCCTCTGGCCTGGAGGCGGGTGCTGGAACACTGTTTGCTGGTCGGACACTGATAAACTGGAGTGCACTACAAAAATAAAGTCATCATTAAAGAGCATGTATTGTACGGATGACGCAGAATGCTAACCAGGCTCATCAGCGCTTATAGTTGTACCTTATGCACAGTGATGCATGAGAGTCTGAAATGTCATTCCCTCCCCCATCAGGCTCACTCTTCTTAAATTGTAAATTCTCTTTTCTGTGATATGTGGATAATTCGGCAGCGTCACATAGGCATTTTTTGCTCAAATCCCTTGCAAAACTAACTTCTTTAACATGACCAGTTTTCAGTTGACGTGATACCATGAGTCTTTCATAACAATGTTTCAGATCAATATTAAAAATAAAACTACATATGTAATCATCTAGAAAAGGCATGTCATGATCTGCAATTATCACTTTTACAGTAACTTGGGAGTACTAAATGAATACTATGGCATGTTATACTTAATTTTGAAGCTTATTTTTTCAGGAAAACAACTATATAATTAAGTTTGTTCTAAAATGTTAACTAACTAACTAACCAACTAACATGTCATTAGAAGTTAAGCTAGGCCCAAGATGTATTTTTTCTAATCAATAAAAAAAATGTGGCTCAGTTGTGGTTGAATCCAAACCTACTAGAAAATAATATCCAAACTTACAAAAATATGCACACAAAAAATATAAAAAGATAATAGAAGTACTTTTGGCCCCAACTCGTTCTAATGTTTTTAAACGTGGCCCCTGACCAAAGTGAGTTTGACACCCCTGATCTAGATCATTATCATTATCATCATGAGGCAGAGAGAGACTGAAGCAAATCATGTTTTGTTTAAACAGTAATATTTGTATTTCCTAACATAACTTACAGGGGATAATCATCTGTTTGCCGGATGAAAAGTGGGACTTCGCAGCCAGCTTCTCTTGTACCATTCTGATGTCTTGCCAACCGGGTAGGAAGCACAGAATTGCCCCTGGAAATGCACGTTGTCAAATCATGCCATGGAAATAAAAAGATTTTTTTTTTATGTGCAAGTAACCAAAGCTTACCTGGCTCTCCACGTTTGTCCACATGCTCAATGACATTAGCAACCAAATCCAAATCTAGTGCCGTTTCATCTCTTCGCACCTGAAATCACATTAGGATCTTGAGAGTCAAGAATCGTTTGCTGTTAAAAGAATTTAATTTGGGGAAATACGGTTTCTTAAAGTGTGAAATATTTTACTAATTGACCGAAGCGCTTTTAACCATGTAATAAAAATAGTCTCACTATTTACCCATTCAAAAAAGGTACTTTAAACTATTTCTATAGCACAATTCATTCAAAATGCAACCCAAAGTTCTTCACATTGACAACAGTCTAAAAAAAAACAGTCAACGCATTAAATCACGCTGTAAAACGCATACAAAAACACATTACATGAGTCCTACACGTATACCCTGCATTAGAACGTGACATAAATTCTCAGAACACATTTTATCCATATGAATAATCCTTCAGTATGTCCTACAAAAGAAATTCAGAAGTGTGTGTGTTTCTTTCAAAATCAAATGTTAAGTTCTGCAGACATTGTAATGCGGTTGTAAAGAATGTCATTTCACCAGAAGTGGCCAGAATTAATTTAGAGACAACACTTTTTTAAATAAAAAAATGACATAGCATACCAGGATTGAGACGGAACATTACAAAAAGGGGCGGAGTTTAGCGTTTGGGAAAAAATGTATGCGGCAAGAATGATTTGAAAAAAAAATAAAAAAATCACTCCAGGTTTTTCATGAGGGAAAAATTGTGCAACATGGTTAGACCCCATTCAAAGAGGATATTGCATAACTATACATATTTTATCGATATTCCTCTGCTTCAAAATGTTGGCACAAATGAGAAAAATGCAGGGGCAAACTAAAAATATAGAATGACAGTCAACTTATGCTGTAGATAATGAGAATAAAGACTTATATTCACATACATACACACACACACACTCACACACACACACATTACCTCAGCATTCTCCTCGCGGTCCTTACGTGGCGGTGGTCTTCCCATCTCCCTCAGCACGTCCTCCAGGAAGCGGTCCGTCACTGGGTGCATGAATCCGGGCACTTTCACGATGGGGCAGTCGCCAAAGTACTGGGACAGTCTGTGGTTGTCCCCGGTGGCGCTCATGAGGACCACGCGGAGGTCGGGGTTCTCCTCCAGCCCCGTGCGCAGCAGAGCCAGCAGCAGGTCTGTGTTTATGTCCCTCTCGTGCACCTCGTCCACCACCACGTGACTGATGCCTCTGAGGGACGGGTTGGACTGGAGCTTCTTCAGTAGGACGCCCACGGTCAGGAACAGCAGGGCCCCTCCGCTGTTCTCTGGGGGCCGGCTCTCTAGTCGCACCTGGGAACGAGAACAAAAAAATAAATACTTTTTTTTTTAAAACTCTCTAATCAGTTCAGATACTGTTATTATTTGAGCTCAGAGCGAGAAATCCAGTTGACAATGTTTGTGGAAGTGCTATATAGAGCTCAAAAGAAGTAGGCTGAAGAAAAACAACAAAATCACAAGACTAATATGTCAAACTCTACTTCAAGCTGGGGGTAAACCATGTAATACAAAAACATAGTTCTTAGCTCTAAAACAGTTTGCTTCTATCCCTAGTTTCCATGTGCATGCAATTTTTGGCTTGTTATCACATTAGATGAGATTTTTCAGACAGAAAAGTTAAATAAAGAAAATAAATAGTTACAGGACTCTTTCTTACAAATGCCAACGATAAGAAAAATAAATGTGACCAAATTGAGTTCACCACATTTTACTTTATTCTTTCTATTGGGACAAACAACATGTATTATTTGGAACATAAAAAAGGATAGATCTAAGAAGAAGCAGATTACAGAAGTTGATATCACAATGATGATGGTTTAAATCATGTTTTTGCTTTTGTTTAGTTGCAGATGTTGGAGGGGGTTTGTGTATTTACCTGGTATCCCACAGAGCGTTTGAGAGCTGGGCCCATCTCCTGAGCCACTCGATGAGCGACAGACACGGCGCTGATGCGTCTGGGCTGCGTGACCAGGATGTTGCAGGTGGCCCCTTCTCCTCCCCTCACCCGCTCTTCCAGCAGAAAGCGTGGAATCCTGGTGGTTTTCCCACATCCGGTCTCCCCTGCGATCACCACCACCCTGGAGGACTGCACCGCGGACAGCACTCTGGGGCGGTGCGCGTCCACGGGCAGCTCCACGCTGAGGCCGGGCTGAACGTTCTCCCACTCCTCCTGCAGGAAGGAGCTGAGCTGCTGCGCCTGCTGCGGCGTCAGAGCTCTGTAGGGCTTCCCCGTGATGGCGTCTGTCACAGGCTCTTCATCCTCTTCTTCCTCCTCCTGCTGCTGCTGCGCGGCCCGCTCCTCATCCTCCCACACCTTCTGGACCTCCGCTGCCACTGGGTACTGAAATACAATAAACTCAATGTGTTGGGAGATAATTACAATTAAAAGGCAGTGTTCACAAAGATAATAGTACCGTGTTATGAAGTCCTTATTAATCACTTTCACTGTGGATATAATTTTCTTAATAAATATAATCATCTTACTTACTGCTTTATTATTTTATTCATCTAATTTAATGAAATCAATCGACTGGCAATTTGATTTTATGGTTGCAGCTCTTATTATCATCATCATATATCCAAGCAGATGGATTAATATTATCATATCATGATTTGATTTGACAGTTTGTTTTTATACAAGAGAAGCCAGATTGGCATTATATTTGCAGCACTTTGGAAACTATTGTTCATGAGCTATGGAACATAAATAAAGCAGAATCATAAATAACTGTCAGAACCACTACCACAGTAATGGTACATCCACAAACCTCTGACAGGTACGATCTAATACTGTCCTCCAGATACTCAGGTATATCCAGTAGGAACGGCTGCCTCTCCCTCACTCCCGCCTCCTTCACCATCTCACGGTGGTACTTGGCATGGGTCAGGGGATTGTTGTCGTCATCCAGCAAGTTAAGTTCCTATCAATCCATTTAAAAGTATGTTAACAAAATTAGCAAGCATTCATGAGGAAAGCTGAATCAAAACATACCTTGAGTTTTAAGCACGCTAAAGCCGCCGCCCTCTTCTCTGCACTGGACCGAGCATTCGCAGTAGCCGTGAGAGTCATTTCCTCAGGCCAGCGCATTGTTAGCGTACACTTCTTTACTTTTCCTCCCGTTGTTTTGTACTGGATCAGCTCCTACAAACAAAAGAAGAATAACATTGTGTAGCTAAAAGACTTCTATGGAACTGCCCTTGCATGTGATACTTCTGCCATTCACTAGTCACTTTACCCGTTGATAATATTACTCATGTTTATTCTGCTCATATTCTCCGCTGCTAAAGTACACCATACACATCTGTCAATACTTCTGAACCACATGCAATTATAGGTCCAGAGTTTATTTTATTTTATTCTATTTTACCTATTTTTATTCTATTCTTATCTTATCTTAATCAGAGGAATATCTTAACTTACGATCATTTGTTATAATGACGTGATGTATTTTTATGTCTTATGGACTAGGTCTGCGATTTAGTCATTAGCTAAATGGCCTATGAACATGGGATCGGTTATTTGTAACAATGCTTCTGGTTCTGTCCCCATCAAGTAAAACGTAAAATAAACTAAATAATACACACCCTGATTCTATTGGAGGACGTGGCCACTTGGATGACCCTGGTGAGGAGAGACTTTGCTTGTGGGAAGAGAGAAACGGCTTCAGCAACGTGTGGATTTTCTTCGATAGGTGCATGTTTTGGTCCATTTGATCTGGGTATGTGAATGTTCTTTTCATAGAGGCCGTCTTCGTTGTCAAACAACTGAGACTGCAGCCCTCCTCTACCCCTGCTCCCCGCTCTTCTTTGTGGGAGTTGATTGTTTGGGCCGATCACTCCCATGTCCTGCAAACATGAAAAACAATGTGTTATGAAAGGTTGTTTGTTTTGGTCGCTTTGGTTGTTTAAATTAATCAGTCGACGGATAGGACAAAATATGTATTAGTCAACCATTTAAAAAATATAAATTCTAAGGATTTAGAAGATAAAATCACAAGAAAGAAAAAAGAAGATTATATATAGAACTAATTATCAGAATATTTGGTATTAAGCCAATGAAAAAACAAAATATTATTAAACATATTTTCTTTTTGCTTTAGTTGTTTTGCATAGAATTAAAGAAGTCAGACATATAACTAAAAATGGTTCAGTGCTTTTGCAACGCCCACTTTTTAGTCTCCTTAATTATCTGTAATCAAACTAATCAAACACAGGGTGGGTCAACTACAAACCTGGAGTTATCCTCTCTAAAATGGGTGATCATGGGACAGGCACATTTATTGAAAATCAAAGAGTGTCAAAGGATACTTACTTTCAGCTTTTGGCAAACAGCAGCTGCAGCGACCCGCTCAGCATCGTTCCTTTTAGAAGCAAAAGCCTCCTCTTCCATTTTGCACGGCCACAGCACCGTCACTGTCGCTCTCTGTAATGAAATAGTTAATCAAACAAAAGCAGCGAGCAAGATCCCGAGTCGGATTATAAATAAAACGCAAACCTTGGTGCCCGCGTGTTCAGTACAGCTGTATTGGACGAGTCTGGAAGTGTCACTGATGCCCAACGAACGAGAGATTGTATTGTGCAGAAGGCCCTTGGCATCTGGAAACTCCTTCAACAGACTTGAATTATGGTTTCCTGGACATAAAGCATTTTCACATGTAAACATCTAATTACATGTAATCAGATTTGCGACTCTGGTCTGTGAAAGGCAGTATATTAAACAAAGATTACTTACTTACTTACTACTTAATATTAGGGCAATAATTAACAATCGTTTTGATATTTTGTCATAGTTACGGTTATTTTTTGGATCTTGAAAGGCAGGAGAATATGAGATTAAAAAAATGACCAAAACAAACTTTAAGGAAAAAATCTATGAAGGAGAGTTGAAGCTATATTGGGCCGTTCATTCAGTCATTCAGTCAGCTTTTAGAGTCATAACACCTCTGCACTGCTTTTAGTCTCTGTATGGTTCATTAGTTGACAAGCTGATCTAAAGATGTGAGGCCAAAAAGCACATGTGAAAACTAGTGATGGCACCAATAGCTTTGAGAGCAGAAACTATTTAGATTTCAGTTTTTTGTGTTTCGGTTTCTAGCAATTCATTTCTAGATATTTCCAATAACTAGAAATATTTAATGAAAATGTGAGACAAATTATAGATTTGAATTCGTAATATTCTGTTACACAAGGTTGATGAGGCACATTTTCAGTTCAAGGGTAGAACTTTGGATCAACAGTAACAAGGACATTATACTTTTGATGACATCATATTTGTAACGAGTACAGCAATAATTAACACCGTGATCACAACTTATTTCCATCGCACAGCCTCGGAGGAGCATCTTTACACAACGGGGATGCCCTTGAAGCTTGCATCACTGAGAGATGTCAACATTAGCCGCGTTAGCCGCCGGTGCTAACTCTCACCTCGTGGGGCGTTGCCGTGCTCTGTCCCGGGGTCCTGGTCGGTTCGGGCTTTGGTCCGGTACCAGCGCATGTCCCCGCTCCAGTTTGGCGCAGTTTGGACTCTTGGTTGAACACATTTGGCCAAACTGCACAGAGCTCTCATTCGCACGAGTAACGCACCGGGAAGCGCCATCTTGGAACTACAAGTTGCTCTTCTGCGGTCCTCAAGCGGAAGTAACAAAAGTGTGAGGTTTGTGCACAGCGCCACGTGGTGGACGAGGTTGGGCTGTGAACATGGATCTATAACAGCCATTCCCAAACTCAGTAACACCGAGGCCCCCTTAAAAATCTGACGGGTCTGTGCGGCCCCCCAAAATAATAACCAAGAAGACAACATTAAGAATAGGCTCTTCTGGTTATTTTATTTTGGGGAAATAGCCTCTGCTACAAACATTGTAATACAAAAATGATTACAGTGGATTATTCAAGTCAAATAATGAACACAAATATTTTAATATTACAAACAAAACATTATAAATTTAACATTAAATAATTATATATATATATATATTTTTTTTTATGACCTCCCGCGGCCCCCCTGCAGTACCCTCGCGGCCCACCAGGGGGCCGCGGACCCCACTTTGGGAGACACTGATCTATAATAATAACGGTTGTGAATAACCACTTGCAGTAACTTCTAAAACCAAATGTACTTTGTATTTTTTGCTGTACTGTTGCTGGATCCTTTTCATTTGTACCATGAAACTTGTCTTGTCTTGCCAGGAAAAACCTCATCGAGATACACCTGTTTTTCAACATAGTCCTGACCAAGAGACAACAAAGTTACACAATGAGTATAAATAAATTGATATTACATTCAAATTATATATACGAGTAGAACATCAAACAAAAAAATTAAAGCTAACTGAGTTAGTTATACATTCTATCAGTTAAGAAGGTATGGGTATTTACTTTATGTAGTTACAATACATATAATGTTATTAATTTCTTAATCTAATATACGCTGTCATTGCTGTACACTTGTCTATTACGGTACAAAGATAAACTCACAAGAGTCGTTTCTGCCACAGAAAAAATAAACATAACTTTTTTAGGGCTAATACCTTGAATATTAACTTGACTTCCTCCTGACATTTTAGGTTTGAGCCATGAACTGTGACCATCACAGTAACCTGCAGCTGTTGAAAGGGAGGAAAAATCCCAGGACCTGTCAATACAGTTGGAGATTTTGCCACATTTACCCCTTGGACATTTCCCAATGGAGCTGGCACTTGTTGTCCTGCTGGGCGTAACAGCTGGTATGTCCATATTTTTTTATTTAATGTATTCTGGTTTCATACCAGTATAATTCCAGTGGGTTTTGCTTGGTTGCAGTCTGTGGGTGTGGTATGCCCAGCTATCCACCCAACACAAACCGTGTGGTGAATGGGGAAGAGGCCCGGCCGTACAGCTGGCCCTGGCAGATTTCCCTGGAGTCCTTCTTCCCCACATGTGGTGGGACCCTCATAGCCCCCAACTGGGTCATGACTGCAGCTCATTGCATCACGTGAGACAACATTCAGGTACAAAGAATTAAACCTTATATTGCGCATGTTTATACTGTGATCCAACATATAGATTCCACACATATCGAGTGGTCCTGGCTGAACATGACATGGATACAGTGGAGGGCCCAGAGCAGTCGCTGAGAGTAGACAAAATGATCATTCATCCTAAATGGAATAAAAGCTGTCCTTCTTGTGGGTAAGTGAAGTAGGGTTAGGGACTACTTAACACATGAGGAAATAAAGCATCTTCACACAGTGTTTGAGAAATGGAACACATGTTCAGAACACTATTTTTGAGTAACAGAGTAATATGACACCAATATGATATAGAGTCTAAGTACAAAGTGACACATGTCAAGCTTTTGTTTGTTAACATTTGTATGATTATGGCTTACAGTCCATTTCCAGAATAAATATATAAATTTAAGGTGTTTTATTCAGGGTTTTTACAAGGTGACATTACAACAAATAAGGCTCATGTTGTGTGAAATTAGTCATATTTGTTTGAATTAAGCCTTTTTACAGCGGGAAAACTATAAGTTAGTTTCACATTGTAAGTTGAGTTACTGAAGTAAATTGTCTTTTGAACAATATTCTAATTTTCACTCTACATTATAATGCAAACAAGTGTAACAATAATTCAGAATACAGTACTCTGATTGGACCATGTAATGGGATATGTAACTGAATACCTTTTCAAAGTATTCTCTCCAACAGTCTTCAAAGCACTATGTAAACTACTGACTCTGCATGTTCAATACTGCAGTAATGACATCGCGCTGCTGAAGCTGCAGGCAAGAGCTGTTCTCAATGACAAAGTTCAGCCAGCCTGTCTCCCAAAACAAGGCAGCAGTCTTTCCCACAACTACCCCTGCTACGTCACTGGCTGGGGTCGCTTATACTGTGAGTTTATTTACTTAACTGCCTGAAAAGTCACTCTTCTACATAACTTGCATTTGTTCCATTCAGCCGGAGGTCCTCAGGCCACCAAGCTCCAGCAGGCTCTCCTCCCAGTGGTGGAGCACAGCGTCTGCAGCCGGAGTGACTGGTGGGGCGGCTCTGCCAAGACAACTATGGTCTGTGCGGGAGGAGACAGCGAGTCAGCCTGTCATGTAAGTAATGTAAAATAACACTGAGAGGTTCTAATACTTAAAAAGATTAAATAAGATAACTGTCTTTAAATATGCCATTGAAGAAGGATCAAAGTAAACATGATTGCACTACGAAATAACTGGTACTTCTGAAATGTATGCGAGTCTGGTGTGACTGGAAATGACTGGTGGTAGTGGGAGGGGCCGATAGCACATATTGGTTGCCTGACTTCTGTCAGTGTGCCCCAGGGCAGATGTGGCTACAGTAGTAGTTTATCACCACCGTGTATGGAGTGAAAGAATGACGTGTGAGGCGTCTTAGAGTGTCCGATGCATTATTATTATTATTATGCATGGGTTATGTCTTACTCTTAACTCAGGTAATTCTGAAATGTATGTATGCACTTCTCTTACTTAGAATAATTTAGTTATGCAATGAAGGGGTAGGCGTTTATAAGTATATTTTTTAAACTTTTGCTTACTCCCATTGACCTCTATATAACAATTAAACATTGTCTTTTGTGTTGTGCTGTCAACAGTATGTGTCGCTTTGAGCTCAAATCATAACTGAACTAATAGTTGTAATGATGTGGAAAAGGGTGACTCCGGAGGCCCGCTGAGCTGCCAAGGCAAAGATGGGAAATGGTATGTGGAGGGAGTGACCAGTTTTGTGGATGGACGTGGTTGTAATACCGCCAAGAGACCCACGATGTTCACCCGCGTGGCCTCTTTCATTCCCTGGATTAGTGAGGTAAGGATGGATAGAATGTGATTCAATAAAAAAGGATATCACCCGTCAGTCATTGAGTTGGTAATGCATTCTCTATTTTTAGACCATGGCGAAGAACTGAGGCTGATTACAACATAAGAACTTCAAAATAAAGTTTTAAAATGACAATAATTTGCTTTTTCAATGTTCTTCCGCTCACTCCTTTTTGAGTTTAAATAATGCAAAATATTATATGTGATTGTTATTGAATGATTTGTTAGAAAATACTATGTAGTGACATTTATTTCATAATCTTGTTTGATAATGTTTGATGTACATTGAACAAAAAAAAAAAATGCAACCAATTCAACTCAGCTTTTTTTATAAAACATTTATTAATTAGCTTATTTTGATTTCAACAGTAGTAGTGTGCAGCCAGCTCTCAATCTAGCATTGATTCACATGATATATATGATTTTTTTAAATGGTATCTTATCTTAAATTCATATATAATATTTTAATTATTTATAGTATTCACAAGACAATCCTATACCACTTTGTCTGGACCATTTTTTTGCTCCAACACTTCCAATGGTTATTTCGAAGGAGTCCAGCTGAAAAAGTCCATGTCTTTTAGCTCCTGTGGTAGATAGTCCTGCTCCACCGGCTCGCTGAAGGCGGGGTTGTACTTGTAGCCTTTAGCGTAGCCGAGCTGTTTCATGAGTTTGGTGGGAGCGTTTCGGAGGTGAAGAGGCACAAGCGGCAGTGGGCCCTTGTGGTTCCTCAGACAGGCTTTCACATTATTATAGGCTTTGTACACATCCACTGACTTTGGTGCTTGTGCGAGGTACACCACACACTGGGCCAGGATTACCTAAAAAAAAAAATATACAGTGCCCCGGCTAGTTTTGTTTTGCCTGAAAACTGATTCCCCATGCTTTCAAAAACATACCTCACATTCAGGCATCCCAATGAAGTGACACGCCTGGAAAGCAGACACAGCTTGGGGAAGAGCCAAGGGATCAGCCATACCTATGAGTATATATAAAAGCTAAGTGAGTTAATTGAAGAAGTTTGTACAATAAAGATAAACAGTACATACCCACATCCTCGCTGGCAAATCGTACCAGCCGACGGGCCACGTACAGCGGGTCTTCTCCGCCCTCCAGCATGCGGCCGAGCCAGTACAGAGACGCATTCTGATGGGAACCTCTCATAGACTTGTGCAGTGCAGATATACAGTTGTAATGCTCCTCTCCTGCATCCATCCAGATCCAGAATATGCAATAATAATATGAAACTGAACCCCTCACAACATCAGGAGGGTCTATAAGGACAGTGACATTCAACGACATTTATGGACTTTATCAACATATACGGACACTGGTCATCTGCTCTTTATGAACCAATGGCTCTATATGGGTTTTGGCTCTATATTGCATTTCCAGTGTTTGTACTGTTTGATTCTCTGATCTCTGTTGGTGAGATAACTACTGTTGTGATTTAGGGCTACACAAAAATAAATTGAAAAGAATTGAAATAGAATTACATCATGTTTATGTTGTTACATAATAACTGGTCTGTGAAGAGTGACAATGAACTCACCAGCTTTATCGTAGAGGATGTGTGATCGCTGAAGGCCTTCTTTCACATGCACCTCCGTCACCACTATCTCCACGTTAGAGCCGCCTTGCAAAGCTTTACTCTGGGCCAGGCTCACTTGGGCTTGGATAGACAACTGGAGACTATTGAGACCTGTCCTGGCGTCACCATCACACAGATGTGCTATGGTGTCCAGTGCATGCTGCTCTATGCAAATCACAGGCCTTTAAATAGAGAAATAGAGGTTGATCATTGTATAGTACAAAATGTATGGTAAAAAATTGCCTGCCTAACCACAGAATAACTAGTAAGTAGAGATGCAATTTTTCAACATGCATTGTATTTGTACCCTGTGGTCCTGTCTTTTTAATTTGTCTAAAAAAGCTGATCTAAAAGATGTGACAGAAGCCAAAAAATACATTCTCGTGATACAAAACTGTTTAAGAACTAGTTGCATGGAATTTAACGCATATTTCCATTGTTGTGGATTCAAAGATAAGCACCCCAAAGTAAAAAATTACACCCCTAAATTCCATGATAGTTGCTTTGTGAAAAACATGAGAAGCAGAAGCACATACTGTTGTCCCACTGTCTCCACTGGAGGTTTAAGACCGTCTGAACTTGGTCCCAGCACCCGGACGCCCAGAGTGTCCACAGCCCGCAGCAGGATGGAGCTCATGGCCTCCACACTCAGCCGCTCCAGAACCAGCACCCGGCAGCGGCTCAGAAGGGCAGCATTCACCTGGAACGATGGGTTCTCGGTGGTCGCCCCGATCAGAGTCACTGTACCGTTCTCCACATGAGGGAGGAACGTGTCCTGCAGAACACCAGTCTCTGAGTCTGTGCATATTCATATTATTTACAGTATGTCCTAAAAGCCTAATATGGACAAGTGTTGAAAAATATCATGGTCTAGCTAAAACACTAAAGGCAGCGCATCTGGTCTGTCTGATGTAACTGTTGTGTCCAAATCAAATATATCAATAAAATCCATTATCTATACATTTGGGAATAGTTTGATTTCCATTTATTTAAAGAGATAGAATTCAACGACATGAGCGCAAACTATTTCTGTTGGAGGGAAGGTTCCAAAACAGCTGCATACGAAAGAAACAATTTTTGAAAGACACTTGGAACTAGGGGTGTGACGCGATACTTTCTCCCGCGATTCGATTATCGATATGCATTTGCCAAGTATCGTATTTTTTCTTTTATTTATGCCATAAATTGGCCTATTGTATATTTCTGACCAATATATCGATTAGCGTTATCGTGATAATATCGCTATCGTGAGCTTTGTATCGTGTATCGTGAGGTACCCTTAGGTTCCCACCCCTACTTGGAACAATAGAATGCCCAATGTTTTCCAAGATAAAGATTTTCCATATTAGGCTTATGTCTTAAAGTCCTTCCTATTGGCAAAAAGTGTGTATTATGTTTTTTAATATTTCAATGAGAAAATATTTAGACCATAGTTGACATTTTCCAAGCCCCGGCGATCCAAGATGGCGCCCTATTCAAATGAATGGTTGTGCTCAGTGGCGCTTTGTGACAGCATGGGGGCTGAAAGATTAGCGGAAGTCGCTTGGAATTCTTAAAGATCTATGGGAAACTCGCCTGTATTTGGGCATCGTCTGGTCCTCCCGGTTCTGCGCATGGGATGATCTCCCATAATGCGTTGCGCCAAACACGCGTGTGTGGGTCTCACACCGGGTCTCATGCACGTGCACAGAGGGGCTCGGCCGCGCTCTGACCAATCAGAGCAGTTCATCAGAGCAGGAGTTAGTGCGAGAGCCAGACGAGCAGAGTTTGTGGCACTAAAGTGTGGATTTAAAGAAAACCGAAAAAAAGTTCAGGATGACAAGGGACACTAAAATCCCCACAAAATCCGACCTTTATTAAAGCTGTAGGTTCTCTGTCAGCTGAGGTTGCTCTGTTTTAATTTACACTGAGTTCTATGGGGAATATTTCTGGGTAGCCCACGTGAATTTAGTCTGGTTTAGTCTGCATTACCGCGAGAATCCCCCGAGCACCCCCCCACATAACACAAAATTATAAAAAAAAAAAAAACAGTTAAATGCGGTCACATTTACGTTAAGCAATCACAAAGAGCAAACGTAAGGCTAGGAAACAAAGCTGAGTTGGACACATTGGAAGATTTGGGATGTATCAATATCATTCCTGCTTGTGTCCTGGAGTACCTGCTGGGACTTGTTGAAGCGGTGGATCTCGTCGATGAACAGGATGGTTCTCCTTTTGCACAGCCGCAGCTCGTTGTTCGCCTGCTTGATGACCTCTCGTACATCGTTGACCGACGCGCTGGTGGCGGACAGAGTGATGAAGCGGAAAGTCCCCTTCTTTTTGCAGGAGCAGGCGATTATGTGAGCGAGAGTGGTCTGCAAAACACGACAAAGAACTCTTCTGTGTTTAAATGTTTTTTAACACCCTAGTCCCCCTGAACTCAAAAAGAACAAATTATCTATCAAATGCCATAAACATCGGTGAATAAAAAGTGAGAATCAGTGGCTGCAGAATCAGCCGGTTGCAAGGATCAGAATGATTAAAGAGAGAGGTGTGGGGTCAGTGAGTGTTTTGGTGTCTTGGTCTTGTCTGTCTCTTGCCATTGGTGTTAGTGTGACATTGGCTGTTGTGTTTTGTTGGAGAGTAGGGGATTTGATTAATATAAGCTTTTTGCTTCAACCAACCCCTTTTCAAACTATGCACAGATTTTCTTGTGCATAGTTCATATTTTTCTGTGAATAATTATTTGTATATTGGGCTTGTTTGAAATAAATAAACAAATGCAATCAGCCAAACAATATGGTCAGGTGGTTAAGCAGTACTAGCATCTTCACATTTTTGTCTAAGCAAATGTAGCCAAAACATATCTAAAACGGTATTCCACATCCCTTCTGCTTCACCCAGAAAGCTCATAATGGCAAGTAACACATTTTATAATGGATCAATGTGAGTAATCGATACTATTTAACTGTATGACATCACCTTCCCACATCCAGGCGGTCCCCACAGGATCAGAGACGGGATTTCTTGCGTGTCCAGAAGTGACCTGAGTAGCGTGTGCTCTCCAACTACTTTATTCTGACCAAAATACTCCTCCAGCGATTTGGGACGCAGGATTTCCGCCAGGGGTTTATCGATAGAAAACAATGTCCGCCTGGCTAGATCTGGACACAGGTTTGAATCACTTTGTCCAGGAATCTCACTAGTGTCATCCACTTTATTCTCTTGATCAAAGTCTTCCACCAATCCACGTTTTGTCCCCTTAGAGGCCTGATTCCCAGGTTTGTGTTTGTTAGATTGAAACATTGCGAACATGGGAGAGGAAGAAGAGGAAGCCGAGGTACGCGCTTTCTTCCCCGGGGGAGCGCTATGGTCTGCGGGGTCCATGGGGCTGCTTTCTGCTCCACCTCCAGCGAGACACGCGTCCAAGTGTCTGTTTATCGTAGATGTTTTAAATTCTTTCAAACAAACAGGACAGTAAACAGAATCTGCCACAGAATCCGCAGCGTGGTCACGAGACCGGTCTTCTTCCGCCATGATTTTCTCCCGCGAATTATGACGTCACAGCACGTGACAATAACACACGTAAATGTTTGTCCACGTGGTTTTGTTTTGTTTTGTTTATGGTGTGAACAGTTCTGCTTAAAGCTGAGGTATCTAACATAAAAATAATAATACAAAAAATTAGTACATTTTGTGAAAAAGATTTTTTTGTGAACATCACAGACCACAACATGCTGTCTCCATCTTATTAGAAAACATGTTATATTTCGCATACTTGTAAAAGAGACGACTCCATGAGTGTGATCTGCTCTTTTTTAAAATTAAATTCAGATACCTCAGCTTTAAGCAGAATATTACAAAGGACAAAACATACATGCATTTAAAAACTAGGGTTATAAACAAACTGTTTAGGGCTAGGAATTATGCTTAGATGAATTTTATAATTGTTCAATTCTTTGAGGTTTGAAAGTTAGGTATCCCAGCATTAGCATAAAAAAATATTAATGTATCACCACATTAATACATAGTCACAAAAAATGCATTACAATTATTATTATTATTACAACTACTTATGAATATTTATATAGTTATTACTATTATGGTTGATAAAACCTTTATCACATGGGAATCATGCCACAATGCATACTATTGAGCAGTTTTACATACAATCTACACAATAGTACAGTGCAAAGAGATTATATTTGTATGTTTGTGTGCGATTAAAAAAAGGGAATGCAAAACAGTGTATTGTCGGGCTTCTCTCTTGTACAACAGCTGATGCCCTTTAGACTGAGGGTACACACGTTATCTCATTGTCATTATTGAATTTGGCCGAGAACGGGACACAGGCTGCCAAAACTCTTGAGCGATGCTTCATGCTGCGAGATGGAGATGTTACAGGCTCCAAGTCTTTAATTAATAATGTTCAATACAGATTTATTAAACATGATGGTTGACAACAGAGACCGCACAATAACAAAATCAAATCTTATGAAATGTAAAGATATATACAATACCCCATGGTAGATTAAATTTCTCCAACTAAAATATGTAAAACAATATTTCAACCTACATAAACAAAAGATAGTTTTAATTAAAGGTTAGACAAGAATGTTTGTTTTCATGGGACTAATTTTCGAATAATTGTTTGCTATAGACTCAGTTCTATTAACTGAGAACAGACCTAAAATATCATAATATACATAAAAAATCTATACTAACTATAGTTATTTTAATGACATATGCTGAAGCCAATAGGACAGGTTACACTACTAATTTAACACAGACATTTTTAATTTAGATATATTTAGAATTAGACTCAAATACTATTTCTGCATTACCTGTAAACTTTTCGAAACAGTTCCAAAACTTTTTGTCACAAACTGTCAAATAATAATCCGAGGTTTTGTCCCAACAAAAATGTATGATATTTGGTCTTGAATTACTGAAATGTTACATAAAGCACTACAACACCAGCAACTACTACTACGACTATAATGTATTACCAGATAGTAATCAGCCAGCTTTCGTAACAACACTAAGCCATCTAAAGCAGCATAATCCCACATCAGTGTATTTGAATATTTCTCAACACATGTTTTGATACCATCTTCTAATTGTCTTTTGAGCGAAGCCTGGGATTAGATAGCGTGAGAGCTGGCTGGTCATATGTCCCGAGTGTCCCGTCCTTTGGCTGTGGGGGCTGAGGAGGACCGGGTGCTGGGGGTATTTGGGAGTCTGTCATTCCCGCTAAGCTTCTATAGTGAGGAGCTGTTGGCATTCGAGCATTTCCCATAAGTATTGGACTGTCGCGGAGGGAGCATGAAGTGTCCGGTGAAAGCGGGGGAGCGCCTGGGCCCCGGCTGGGACATGTGGGTGGTGAGCGGCGTGTGTCTGATGGTAACGTACGTCTGGAGCCGGCTGAGAGTGCTACTGTCCCACAGGAGGAGGTCCAGAGCCCCTACGCAGGTACAATGTGTTCTAGTAGCGGAGGTGGTGATGGTGGTACTGACATTCTAACAGCTGCTTACAATGTGTGGCTGGTGTATAATAGTGATGCTGTTGATAGAAGTTGGACTCACTGGTATGTTCCCCTGACATGTGGAAGTCTACATTATAAGCATTTCTCATTTGTTCTCTGAAGAGAAAGTTTTTTTTATTTTTATTTTATTTGTTTAATTAGTAGTTATTTAATTCATTTATATTAAAGAGTCACATTTTTGTCATAAATAGTTATAGTTTTTTACATGTAACCTCCCCCCAAACTTGAAATAAAAGTTAATAGAGATGATGGAGATAGGCATGTGCACCAAAGGAAGTGTTGCAGTCTGAAATTACAGTTGTCATTTTTTTTATTTGCAAAGTTTTGGCCACAATGTGAGATCCAGTGTTGGCCAATTTACTCTAAAATGTTGATATCCATGACTAGTAACTGGGATGCACATGCAATAATATATTTGTATAAAACTTAACTAATTATAAAATGTTACATATCTTTGAGTCAGTCAGAAACACTAGTGATGTGAGATATTGTTCAAATGTGTTTTTTCAAATAATGTTTCAGGACACAGCTCTTTTATATCTGACACATGTAACTATGGTAACTATAATGTTTAACTTTTTTCTCGCATGTATAAAGCAAATATCTGCATACAACTTTAATTACTTTGACTGTAACTAGTAAAATCGTACCAAATGTAATTGTTATAACTCAGTAATTCAATGGTTCTCTACTTTTTACTTGTTTGCATCGAGATCAAAAGCAATTTCCAACAGTCTGTGACTTCCTGTTACTCACATGGAAATAAAAACAATTATGATTCTGAATACATTATCAAGTTACTTATACGAATATTTTACAGTAGTTACTACAAACACAGCTGAGATCAGAGCTGTTGATGTAAAGATGTCATTATTTTAAGTAATATTTCATCTCAATAAATAAAAGTAGCAGATGCAATATTATATTAATATAAACAGAACACATTTTTACACCTCTAGAAAAACATGTATAAATATTGAGGCAGTCAAAGAAGTTCACAGTATGTTATTAAGTAAATAGGCCGATGGTGTAAGTGTACGTTTTTGATCATCTTGTCTCCATGATGGGCTTGTTGCTCGGAATGTTACAAAAAAAGGATTAAATATATGTATTGTTTCATCAACAAGAGTCTTAACCTCTCGTCTTCTGAGCTCTGTGAGACATTAAAAAGCATCATTTCTATAATCTTTAAATTTGTCTATGCCGAAGACAAAGCAACATACTGGTAAATAAAAAGATAGCATAATTTAGTAAACCTTTCTGACTTTGGACTGCAGGGATGTAGTTTTTTTAGTTCAAACATCTACATCATACTTGAGTTTCATCATTTCTCACATTAAAGCAACGTAAATAATTAACTTAAGCTGCACGTTTTTGTCAAAGAAACCAATTACAATATTTCTGACAAACAACATGGATATGATTCTTGTTTTAAATTAAATTATTGTTCATTATTGATGTAGTAAACCACTAACCTTAAGACCACAGAATTAGCTAAAACAAAATAAAGTTTATTTATTTATTTATCTGACATAAAAAAAACAAGTATTAAGACACTTTCTTAATTTAAGTTTGGGGATTCTTAGTTATGGGCATTGGTCATCTGACTCTCATGGACCAATGGCTCTATGTGTTTTTTGTGTGACTGTTTTATTCTCTGATCTGTGTTGGTGAATTCAACAGTTTGGTAAGTCCTCTGATATAACTACTTGTGATTTAGGGATACACAAGAATAGATTGAATTGAATTGGATCAATGTTAATTATTTCTGAAGACAATTCTACTCAAAATGTCTAGATGACTTATTTGTAGACCATACATAGAATACACATTATTTAAAAACAATGCTACCCACTAAAAATGATCCCCGACCCTCCAGTTGAGAACCCTAGGACAGAACTATCTCCAGGACAGAACATGCCATGCGCTGCTTCATTGCGTGCGCCGTAGAGTCCATATATAACCTGTAGGTGTCAGTTTAGATAAGTGCACTCTCCATCTTTCACCACTGGTAATTTGTGCATTTCTGTGTTACATAAACTCCCCTGCAGATACCACATTTAATTCAGAGACTCCCGACATAATCCTTTCAAGTGTCATATGATCCACACATCTCTGGTGAGGAGGATCTAGTGTACCTAACTGTGTAACTATGATCTGTGCCTAGAGGTGGCAGTAACTGTACTTTTACTTAAGTACTATACTCGAGCCCATGACCTGTTTTATTGCACTATGTAAAGCACTTTGAGGAATGTATTTGACCGCTCTAAACAGATTCACTTACTTAGGACTACAGTATTTCCTTTTATGACTCAGTTTTACTTATTTCATACCTTAGTTTTAGAGACTAACATCTGAAACTTCACATGGGTCTGTTATTGTCGTCATCACAACAGCATAACAGTATAAAGGCTGATGCCACATGTTTAAGTTGCCATGTTCTGTGCATGTTTATTTACTCACATAACACACTAAATCTTTTTCTTTCCATTTGCTGCTTCATACTTTATCCGTACAAAAGCGTGCACTTCTTACATTGACATGACTTGAGTGGACTTACTTTTGCCAGCTCTGTACTGTGTAATGATGTGAATGACAGCCTAGAGCAGCCGCATGTGTTTATGGATGAGATTACACTGAACTCTAGTGGTCAGATGGGAAACTGCATTTCTTTCGTGTTACTATCTCTGTAAGGATCTACCGTCCCCAATTGGCAATGAATGCGTCAGTGGCGGCCGGCCAATAGAGGGCGCTAGGGCGCCGCCCCACCACTCACAACTTGCCATGTTACCTTGAATAAAACGTTAAAAAAAATAATAACATTAAAATATTTCGAAATTTATGTGTGTTTTATTTCAGATGTGGAAGAAATACTTTATAGTTTATGCTGAGTTGGATTGATTAAGCTCATCAGCGTTGTCTGTGTCGGACTGAGGACGTATTTCCGCCTCAGGGCGCAAAAGATTGCGCCCTGAGCCGTCTATGGACTCTC